ATGTCCTGGCTGAAGGAAGGAGGTTCTCACCCAAGATTTGACGGTACATGGCCCCGTCCATCGTCCCTTTGATGCAGTGAAGTTGTCCTGTCCCCTTAGCAGAAAAACACCCCCAAAGGATAATGTTTCCACCTCCATGTTTGACGGTGGGGATGGTGTTCTTGGGGTCATAGGCAGCATTCCTCCTCCTCCAAACACGGCGAGTTGAGTTGATGCCAAAGAGCTCGATTTTGGTCTCATCTGACCACAACACTTTCACCCAGTTCTCCTCTGAATCATTCAGATGTTCATTGGCAAACTTCAGACGGGCCTGTATATGTGCTTTCTTGAGCAGGGGGACCTTACGGGCGTTGCAGGATTTCAGTCCTTCACGGCGTAGTGTGTTACCAATTGTTTTCTTGGTGACTATGGTCCCAGCTGCCTTGAGATCATTGACAAGATCCTCCCGTGTAGTTCTGGGCTGATTCCTCACCGTTCTCATGATCATTGCAACTCCACGAGGTGAGATCTTGCATGGAGCCCCAGGCCGAGAGAGATTGACAGTTCTTTTGTGTTTCTTCCATTTGCGAATAATCGCACCAACTGTTGTCACCTTCTCACCAAGCTGCTTGGCGATGGTCTTGTAGCCCATTCCAGCCTTGTGTAGGTCTACAATCTTGTCCCTGACATCGTTGGAGAGCTCTTTGGTCTTGGCCATGGTGGAGAGTTTGGAATCTGATTGATTGATTGCTTCTGTGGACAGGTGTCTTTTATACAGGTAACACGCTGAGATTAGGAGCACTCCCCTTTAAGAGTGTGCTCCTAATCTCAGCTTGTTAACTGTATAAAAGACACCTGGGAGCCAGAAATCTTTCTGATTGAGAGGGGGTCAAATACTTATTTCCCTCATTAAAATGCAAATCAATTTATAACATTTTTGACATGCGTTTTTCTGGATTTTTGTTGTTGTTATTCTGTCTCTCACTGTTCAAATAAACCTACCATTAAAATTATAGACTGATCATGTCTTTGTCAGTGGGCAAACATACCAAATCAGCAGGGGATCAAATACTTTTTTCCCTCACTGTATGTCACATGTCTCCAGGGAGATCCCCAATTTGTACGTGTCACTATGCTCAAACAACATTTTAGATCCCAAAAAGAAGCACTATCGTCCCTCGTGAGTGTTCACATACTGTACTTATCCTTTAATAATGACTTGGATGTTGATGCACCATGATCTGTAGAGGATATCAGAAAAAGCACAAGTCTGCATGGCCAACCCTATTCAAATGCCTTTATGGTAAATAGTATCAAACACTCCTCGTTAAACACTCCTACATATACAGTACCAGTCAAAAGGTTGGACACACCTACTCATTCAAGGGTTTTTCTTTATTTTTACTATTTTCTACATTGTAGAACAATAGTGAAGACATCAAAACTATGAAATAACACATATGGAATCATGTAGTAACCAAAAAAGTGTTAAACGAATCAAAATATATGTTAATTCTTCAAATAGCCACCCTTTGCCTTGATGACAGCTTTGCACACTCTTGGCATTCTGTCAACCAGCTTCACCTGGAATACTTTTCCAACAGTCTTGAAGGAGTTCCCAAATATGCTGAGCACTTGTTGGCTGCTTTTCCTTCACTCTGCGGTCCGACTCATCCCAAACCATCTCAATTTGGTTGAGGTCGGGGGATTGTGGAGGCCAGGTCATCTGATGCAGCACTCCATCACTCTCCTTCTTGGTAAAATAGCCCTTACAAAGCCTGGAGGTGTGCTGGGTCATTGTCCTGTTGAAAAACAAATGATAGTCCCACTAAGCCCAAACCAGATGGGATGGCGTATCGCTGCAGAATGCTGTGGTAGCCATGCTGGTTAATAGTGCCTTGAATTCTAAATAAATCACAGACAGTGTCACCAGCAAAACACCCCCACACCATAACACCTCCTCCACGCTTTACGGTGGGAAATACACATGCGGAGATCATCCGTTCACCCACACAGCGTCTCACAAAGACACGCCGGTTGGAACCAAACATCTCCAATTTGGACTCCAGACCAAAGGACAACTTTCCACCGGTCTAATGTCCATTGCTCATGTTTCTTGGCCCAAGCAAGTCTTTTCTTCTTATTGGTGTCCTTTAGTAGTGGTTTCTTTGCAGCAATTCGACCATGAAGGCCTGATTCACACAGTCTCCTCTGAACAGTTGATGTTGAGATGTGTCTGTCACTTGAACTTTGTGAAGCATTTATTTGGGCTGCAATTTCTGAGGCTGGTAACTCTAATTAACTTATTCTCTGCAGCAGAGGTAACTCTGGGTCTTCCATTCCTGTTGCTGTCCTCATGAGAGCCAGTTTCATCATAGCGCTTGATGGTTTTTGCGACTGCACTTGAAGACACTTTCAAAGTTTTTGAAATGTTCCATATTGACTGACCTTCATGTCTTAAAGTAATGATGGACTGTCATTTCACTTTGCTTATTTGAGCTGTTCTTGCCATAATATGGACTTGGTCTCCCCCCCCCCACACCTGTTAATTGAAATGCATTCCAGGTGACTACCTCATGAAGCTGGTTGAGAGATGCCAAGTGTGCAAAGCTGTCATCAAGGCAAATTGTGGCCATTTGAAGAATCTCAAATATAAAATATATTTTGATTTGTTTAACACTTTTTGGGTTACTACATGATTCCATATGTGTTATTTCATAGTTTTGATGTCTTCACTATTATTCTACAATGTAGAAAATAGTACAAATAAAGAAAAACCCTTGAATGAGTAGGTGTGTCCAAACTTGGACTGGTAGTGTATTTTACAGTAAGCTCTTGTCTTGCCCAGCACATAACCATATATACATTGGGAAACTGTAAACATCGCCATCCTTTCACTCACTTCAGTTCAAAACACAGATTACTTTATAGTAAATGGTAATCTTTTTTACATTTTTTTGTCATATAGCAGACGCTCTTATCCAGAGCGACTTACAATTAGTGAATGCATACTTTTTTTTATAAAAAAATAATAATAATCATACTGGCCCCCCGTGGGAAACGTACCCACATCCCTGCCGGCCAAACCCTCCCCTACCTTGGACGACGCTGGACCAATTGTGCGCCGCCCATGGGTCTCCCGGTCACGACCGGCTGCGACAGAGCCTGGACTCGAACCAGGATCTCTAGTGGCACAGCTAGCACTGTGATGCAGTGCCTTAGACCACTGCGCCACATATGAATTCTAAGTTGCCCATAGAATTCATATGTTGCCCAATGCCCAGTACATTCTGTTTCAACCAGAAAATAAATACCATAGTGTTGCCTTCTCGCCTACGGATTCTAATTTCAGAGTGATGGCATCACCTGTCACTTCGAAAGGCTAAAATCAGCTAGTTCAAGTTATGCAATCACATTTTCTGTACCTAAACACATGTGCTGTAAATATTAATGACTCTTTGACTGTTCAGACTGTTGAGATGATATACAGTCTACAGTAGAACTCAACTATACCTCATTTTCTGTACCCTTCATATGTGCAATCATTATTTATTATTTATGGACTGCATTCAGACTGTTGAAGTGTTTTACACAATGTATCTTAAACAAGAGTCATTCCAATGCAATAGTCAGATAAGGAAATGGATTTTAATTAATTGATTTTCCCTAGCTCTGAGCTGTAACAAAGCAAAGTTCACATATTTACATCCTGAACTGTAAGGTCCATTGTCAATGTCACCTAACCCTGTGACCTCAGTGACCAGACCCTTCTGTTGGGACGTCCATCATGTTAACTACGCTACTTTAAAAAGACGTCCTACCAATCAATCACAGCCTTGAACTAAATAAAAAAGGTTTAAAATAGGTCACCAGCTGGTTACAAAGGAAAGGGTCCACAAATGGAAGATGTTTCCTTAGATTAAAGGAAATCACTAAATTGCACTGATTAGAAAAACTGGACAAATCAAATCCAACAAAAAGACTGTGAAATTGAAGAATCCATTACCTGACTATGTCATACAAGAGACAACATGCATGTTGTTCCTGCATGAGGTCCCTGGCTGGAACAACATATGTGGACATTCGACAATGGATTACATTCAGTATCTGCTAAACCCAGTCAATGGATAAACAAACCTGAAGTCACCCACCTGTATCTGTATCTCTTTTCCAACTGTACATGTTCTCCTCCAGACCTACAGATGGCGATAAATTGCTCTCTTGTCTGCATTTAATCGTTCTTTGCTTTTTTCTCTCATTTTCTGCTTTGCATGCTGGGACGAGAGTTTCACCCTAGCAACACACAGCAAAAGCGTAAACAATGAGAGCTCTATATTTAGCTAACGTTAGACATTAGCTAGCAAATCCAGTCGTTATGTTGAATTTACTGTGAAATAAAATTTTATGTGAGTTTTCCATTATTTCCGAAATGGAAAAATTGCAGGCTGAAGATGCACCGTATTTGAAAAGGTAACGTTTGCAAGCAACTAACTAGCGGCTAGCTAACTAGGGGCGTATTCATTACGCCGATTCTGTTGCGAAACGTTTCTTAAACGGAAGCAAACGGAACGAAATGGGGAGGGGCCTACCAGTCATGGATAGAAGGGATCCAGCTTTTGTCAAATTAAACCTTAACCTAATTCTCCTAACCGGCTACGTTATTTCTCGTAACCTGCTGTGTAAGTCAAATCTGACAAAAGCTGGATCTAGCCATGACCGGACCTACCTGAATTTGTCCAATAGAAACTATCGTTTTCGTTGAAAATGCATCTGTTTGGACCAATGATTACACCCCAACTGTGGCTAGCGATCAGCTGTTATTGAAATATGACAACGTGGCTAATGTGTCTTAAAATTATATGAAAAAATACATGTTGTATTTTGAAGTATAGGCTTCAAGCTTACTGTCTAGCTAACAATTTAGTGGTTGAAACTAAATGTTGTAAATCAAAACCGGTTTATCGTCCGGCTCTCCATCATGATCACTTCATGTGACCCTCAGCTATTATCTCATTCCATAGGAAAGTGAAAGGGGGGAGTTTGGATGTCCACCCGACAGAGAATGCCCTCATCGTTCAGTATGAGGTGGAGGCAACTATCCTCAGCCAGATGGGAGACCCAATGGTTGGGGAATGCAAGGAGTGTCAGAAAATGTAAGCATGGTCTAGCTACACACATACCTGACATTTGCTTAAACATCAGACTGTTACCATGTTTACCCCATGGATATTCAGTCTGAAAGAAGTCTGCCTAAAAAAGAAGCAAGAACAACAAGCCAGAATGTTGAATAAAATTATATTTACTTTACCGGTTGTCCGTGCTGTTGGTCCTTTTGACGGTAAGAGATGGAGATAGGGTATCCACAAGAAATTGTTGTTTACCCTACTTTTTGTGGCGCTTTTTGCGGTCCCGGTAGGTTCTGTCACAACAACTTAACCATCTTTGTAATTCAGGGCAGCTAAAATATTTGTGTCATGAATATCTGTTGTGCGATAAAATACATTCATGGATTTGTCATTTCTCTAATTTACAAGTTATTAAACAATCTGTTCCTAACTGAACAAATGAACATCTGACACTTTGTTTCAACTATTTAACTGTACTAGAATGCTTAAAAGGCCGCTAAAATTTTAAATATAGGTTATTGTATCAGGTTTTTTGGCAAGGAAAATATCACATATATCGGTATCGGCCACAAATTTCATATCGGTGCATCCCTAAAACGAGGCTAAAGTAACTTAATGTTACTAAGCTACCAGGAATGAGATTAATTTTGTTTTTCAGTCACTCACCTGAACAGGTCCAAGGGGTGCTTTTATACAGTTTTACATGTTCACCACTAAGTAGGGTCCCAGGGGAAACACAGACCAAAACAATGGTTCCTTCCTTCCCTGTCACATTAAAGAGTTATTTGAACTAGCAATGTTGTTTCTTAGAAAATGTCTCAAAATGATGTTGCATGTGTATTTTCTATTTACAGCATCCGCCTAAAAAGCTTGAACGCCAACACGGACATTGCCTCTCTAGCTCGGAAGGTGGTGGAAGAATGCAGGCTCATTCATCCATCTAAACTACCCGAGCTGGAGCAACTGCTCTTCTACCTGCAGAACCGCAAGAAGTCAGGTAATGGTTCCATCATGGTAATGCCTGGCCCTGCAAGATGGCGCCGACAGACATGGTCGTCCTGTTTCTAGCTCCTAGCCAACTTTGCAGTATTTAGTTTTTTTTGGTGTGTTATTTCTTACATTATTTGCTCAGAAGATTTCTTGCATTATTACCTACAGCCGAAAATGACTTTTGGATATTAGATTGGCGGTCACTCAATTTGACTTTCCTCAATTGGATCCTTTGTTTGAGCTCCCTGAGGAAATGTCATTCATAACGGGGGCTGCTCCAAGACGCCGTCGCCGGAAAAGAGGAATAAGGAGTGGGATCCTAGTCAGACTCAGGAGGCGTGCATACCATGCACCGCTTCTGAGTATATTACTCGCTAATGTTCAGTCCCTGGACAATAAAGTAGACGTGCTCAGGGCGAGAATCTCCTTCCAGAGATACTTGACTGTACAAACTGGAAACTGCAAATATCCTGAGGCCACATTTATTGTAGCTGGGGACTTTAATAAAGGAAATCTGAGGAAAATGCTACCAAAGTTCTATCAACATATCTCGAGTGCTCCTGAGTGCTCCTGAGTGGCGCAGTGGTCCAAGGCACTGCATCGCAGTGCTAACTGTGCCACTAGAGATCCTGGTTCGAATCCAGGCTCTGTCGCAGCCGGCCGCGACCGGGAGACTCATGGGCGGCGCACAATTGGCCCAGCGTTGTCCAGGGTAGGGGAGGGAATGGCCGGCAGGGATGTAGCTCAGTTGATAGAGCATGGCGTTTGCATCGCCAGGGTTGTGGGTTCGATTCCCACGGGGGGCCAGTATAAAAAAAATATGTATTCACTAACTGTAAGTCGCTCTGGATAAGAGCGTCTGCTAAATGACTAAAATGTAAATGTAATATCTCTTGTGCACATCTCCTGCACATCGAGAACTCTGGACCATTGCTTCTCCCCCTTCCAGGACAGTTACAAGGCCTTCCCCCGCCCTCTCTTCGGCAAATTAGGACCAGCTAAACACTTTTTTTGCCCATTTCGAGGAAAACACAGAGCCGCTGATGCGGGCCCTTGCGTCAATCTAATTAATATAATAAAGAAATACCTATCAAAATCCGTCTGTTTTAAGCTTGATATGTTTTTTTGTTGTTGCATGGGCTGTGTCTAGATCCACTGCATCCGCCTATGTTGGCCTTCTGCATCTGTGGTGTAAAGTGGCAGAGCTACAAAGCTGTTTGTCAGACCAGGAGACATCCTGGAAATCAGTCTTATGACCCCACTATGGAAAGGGGAGACTCTCACAAACATGATGGTGTTCTCCGTTTTGTTCTACAACCTCCACAAGTGTCAGGGGACTTGTCTGAAGTTAACCCGCTACCGGTAAAAAAAAAGAAGAATGGAAGTAGTTTTGTGCCCCCCAAAAAAGGGGTTAAATGTGTAAAACACAGTTTTTTTTTTTCCTCCTAGATATAGGACAGACACTTCAAAACCGTATTATTCATGATACATTTTTTGACTGTCTGTTTTGCCATTTCTGATTGTGTTATTCAATGAGTTTCTATGGGCTATAGCAGGCCAAATTCCAAGCCGTGTCCTCAGAGCATGTGCAGACCTCTCAGTATCCCAGTCTGTTGTCCCACTTGCTTCAAGATGTCCACCATTGTTCTTGTACCCAAGAAAACGAAGGTAACTGAACTAAATGACTATAACACCATAGCACTCACTTCTGTCATCATTAAGTGCTTTGAGAGGCTAGTTAAGGATCATTTCACCTCCACCTTACCTGACACCCTAGACCCACTACAATTTGCATACCGCCCCAACAGACCCACGGATGACTCAATCGCCATCGCACTGCACACTGTCATATCCCATCTGGACAAGAGGAATATGTATGTAAGAATGCTGTTCATCGATTACAGCTCAGCCTTCAACACCATATTGCCCTCCAAGCTCATCACTAAACTCAGGACCCTGGGTCTGACCCCGCCTTGTGCAACTGGGTCCTGGACTTCCTGACGGTCCGCCCCCAGGTGGTGAAGGTAGGCAACAACACCCCTGCCACGCTGATCCTCAACACAGGGGCCCCACAAGGGTAGGTGCTCAGACCCCTCCTGTACTCCCTGTTCACCCATGACTGCATGGCCATGCACGTCTCCAACTCAGTCATCAAGTTTGCTGACGACACAACAGTGGTAGGCCTGATTACCAACAATGACAAGACAGCCTACAGGGAGGAGGTGAGGGCCCTGGCAGAGTGGTGCCAGGAAAATAACCTCTCCCTCAATGTCAACATAACGAAGGAGCTGATCGTGGACTTCAGGAGACTGCAGAGAAAGCACGCCCCCATCCACATCGACAGGGCCGTGGTGGAGAGGGTGAAAAGCTTCCAGTTCCTTGACGTGCACATCAATGAAAACCTCTCCAGAGGGTGGTGCGTTCAGCCCAATGCATCACCAGGGGCACACTGCCTGCCCTCCAGGACATCTACAGCACCTGGTGTCACAGGAAGGCCAAGAAGATCATCAAGGACCTCAGCCACCCGAGCCACGTCCTGTTCACCCTGCTACCATCTAGAAGGTGGAGACAGCACAGGTGCATCAAAGCTGTGACCGAGAGACTGAAAAACAGCTTCTATATCCAAGCCATCAAACTGTTAAAGGAAAAATCCAACCAAAACCACTAATTCCGTAACATATGTTTTTTGTGAACAAATGTTTCATTTTGTCTTTATAATAAGGTTGGTAGCAACATGTGAAAATCGTTGTGGAAATCTGTTGCAGCTCAAGTCAACTACAAAACCCACAATGCAATGCTTTCTTTGTGCTGGCTGGCCATCTAGGTAGCTAGCTAGCAAACTTAGCTACACACAATAATACCAAAGTCAATATCAGCATGTGAAGTAGCTAGTTGGCTGTAAAATCGCCTAAACAAACTGCACTATCAATTTAGGAGTCTACAATCTCACCATGTTGAACCTACAGATTGATATGCCTCACAGAGTGGAGCTCGACATTCGCAATGGCACCATGCAATGCACCCTTGACTGAAGAGGCAGACAAATAGGATACATGTGTAAGACCCTCTGTTAAATTACACATTTCTCGTTGTAGTATCTTAGGATGCATCTTAGATTGATGACACCGGACACGTAAGTACGTTTTAGTATTTAATTATAACTTAGAATAACATTACTGGAATGCACCTGGCGTAAACTACCTGAGACTTTTCCGAGCATGGTTCTATGGCAGACATTTAAACTGCTACGGATAGCGGAAAGCAAACCCCGTATTGAGTCAATACTGCCATCTATTGGTAAACATAATCCTTAACGTAAATATACCAGGTTACTACACTCGTGGTAGGAATATTGCAAAAATATGATCAATGGCTCATTCGAGAGAAGACAACCTCCCGCGTTATGACGGCCAGTATTGAAATCTGACATATGTAATAGACGTTTTCGCGAACTAAAAATCGTATTCCTATTAACTTCCAGTGTAAAGAAAGTGGCTTTATCACAATGCTACGTCATACCGGCCAGATTTCTGCCTACTTGAACGGCAATAGCTCAGATACACATGAAAACAATTGATAAAACAACGCTCAGAGATGCACAAAAACAATATAACATTCAAAATGGTTGAATCTTTACTTTAAATAGTCACCACTAGCCGGCCTCCACCCAGTACCCAGCCCTGAACTTAGTCATTGTTACTAGCCTCCTACCACCCGGTACTCTACCCTGCACCTTAGAGACTGCTGTCCTATGTACATAATCGTTGAACACTGGCCACTTTAATAATGTTTACATACTGATTTACCCACTTCATATGTATATATTGTATTCTAGTCAAGGCTCATCCTATATAACTACTGCTGTACACACCTTTTCTATTCATATACTGTCCATACTGTCTATACACACCATTACAGTGCATTCGGAAAGTATTCAGATCCATTCATTTTTTCCACATGTTGATGCCTTATTCTAAAATTGATTAAATTATTATTTTCAATCTACACACAATACCCCGAAATGACAGAGCAAAAACTGGTTTTTAGAAATGTTTGCAAATTTATAATTTTTTAAAAACAGAAACAACTTATTTCCATAAGTATTCAGTCCCTTTGCTATGAGACTCGAAATTGAGCTCAGGTGAATCCTGTTTCCATTGATCATCCTTGAGATGTTTCTACAACTTGGAGTCTACCTGTGTTCAATTCAATTGATTGGACATGATTTGGAAAGGCACACACCTGTCTATATAAGTTCCCACAGTTGACAGTGCATGTCAGAGCAAAAAACAAGCCATGAGCCACCATAACACCTCCTCCTCTATGCTTTACGGTCGGAAATACACATGCGGAGATCATCCGTTACACACATCGCGTCTCACAAAGACACGGCGGTTGGAACCAAAAATCTCAAATTTGAACAGTTGATGTTGAGTTGTGTCTGTTACTTGAACTCTGTGAAGCATTTATTTGGGCTGCAATTTCTGGGGCTGGTAACTCTAATGAACTTATCCTCTGCAGCATAGGTAACTCTGGGTCTTCCATTCCTTTGGCGGTCCTCATGAGAGCCAATTTCATCATAGCGCTTGATGGTTTTTGCGACTGCACTTGAATAAACTTTCAAAGTTCTTGAAATGTTCCGTATTGACTGATCTTCATGTCTTAAAGAAATGATGGACTGTCGTTTCTCTTTGCTTATTTGAGCTGTTCTTACCATAATATGGACTCGGTCTTCTTTATACCCCCCCTACCTTGTCACAACACAACTGATTGGCTCAAACACATTAAGAAGGAAATCAAATCCACAAATTAACTTTTAAGAAGGCACACCTGCTAATTGAAATGCATTCCAGGTGACTACCTCATGAAGCTGGTTGAGAGAATGCCAAGAGTGTGCAAAGCTGTCATCAAGGCAAAGGGCGGCTATTTGAAGAATCTCAAATATAAAATATATTTTGATTTGTTTAACACTTTTTTGGTTACTACATGATTCCATATGTGTTATTTCATAGTTTTGATGTATTCACTATTATTCTACAATGTAGAAAATAGTAAAAATAAAGAAAAACCCTTGAATGAGTAGGTGTTCTAAAACTTTTGACTGGTAGTGTATATTCCGGACTGACATTGCTCATTCTGATATTAATTTTTTACTTTTGGATTTGTGTATTATTTTGTATTGTTAGGTATACTGCACTGTTGGAGCTAGAAACATAATCAGTTCGGTGCACTTGCGATAACATTTGCAAAATACAGTATGTGTACGTGACCAATAAAAGTTTATTTGATCTGAATGACTTTTTCATTATGTAAATACACGTAATGCTTACTAGTGCACATGCTGTCCTGTCCTCCTCACAGACACACGAGAGAAACACTCGCCGAGAGACCTCACACCATTTGAGGGGATGGAGGTAAGGAGAGCATCTTCAAATGTGTGTACGTGTCTGACTGTGTGTGTCTGTGTTCGTGTCCATGTCTGTTATTTTGTGTTTGTAGCATGATTATCACTGTATTATGTCGGTATGATTTAACCCTCGTCATTCTATACTGTATCTCTGTTGTTCTCAGCTGCATGAGGAGGCCAACATCAACAGGATAGATGACTATGTGGAGCTGCTGTATGAAGACATCCCAGAGAAGGTCAGGGGTGCCACCCTCATCCTCCACCTCGCCCGCAACCCAGACAACTTGGAGGAGCTCCTGCAGAATGGTACGTTCCTTCCCCATCTGTCACAATGGTATGCTCCAGAGGAATCATCTTCTCTGTTCTGCTTTGTGGTTAAAAGCTGTACAGGCCAGGCTAGCCAAACTCTAGTGTCATTGGTTGATATAATCCACAGACTCTCTCACCAGCCCATCCCATTCATAAGAAAAGACAGCCTAGCACTAATCCTTCCTATTCCCTTCCCTGACGACAGAGCAGTTTTCTCTCACAACAGCACACGGCGTCCATTACAGCTGTCAAATGATGGCATGGCTTCATTTGTAACTGTCACTATACATCACAGGCTCACTTTGTCTGTTGAACAGATCACATGGTCAGATGTTGATAACGGTAGAATGTGCATGTGAACCATGAAACCTCGGGTCAGTGAGGAAACAGGAGAGGGCCAGGGGAAATGGAACAACGTGATATGTGTCTTTACAATGAAGATCACCCATAGCTCAAGCCATGGGAGCCTGGAAGGCTTCACGTTCCCGCAGGTTCCTTACTTTAACCTCCCACCCCAACCTGACCGTCATCTCAATGCTAGTTGACTCTTTCCACTACCTGCCCACCTCCAACCCCAACTGCATACTTCCCATTCAAATCCTAACATACTGTCCATATCCACCCCCCCCCCCCCCATAAAGCACATTTCTCCTCCCCACCTCTCTCTCACTTTCTCTTTCTCTCTAACCTGTGTGCTGCTCATCAGAGACGGCCCTGGGAGCCCTGGCCAGAGTTCTGAGGGAGGACTGGAAACAGAGCATTAACCTGGCAACCACCATCATCTACGTCTTCTTCTGCTTCTCCAGGTATACAACTCCCTCTCTCTCTTCCCTCTCGCTCGCCAGAACCTCAGCTTTTGTTTTCACATTCTGCTCTCTCTCATTCTGACAGCAATCACACAACTATGACAACATAACACAAAACCTTACTTTCCAACCTCATGGGTTGGGAAACACTAATTACCCTTGATAGAATAATAATTAAACTACTCGTCAAGAGCAATTTTAGTTGTGGGAGGATCTACGTAGTTCTGAAAACTGATAGTCCTTCTTGGCCCCGCTCCATGGCAGTGCTGTGCTGTTTGGTTTCGAAATTATTTGGCTTGTGTCTGGCTGATTATGAGTAGCAGATGAGATATACTGTTTCACTCAAACTTTCTTCGTCTTTTTTTGGCAGTTGACTGTGCTCCAAATAGGTGTTGCATGATGATGAACGAAGTGCGCTTTCGAATAAGTGGAAGCCTTATAAACCTTTTCTCTTCCTTTCTCTCCTCCCATCCCCAGTTTCTCCCAGTTCCATGGGCAGGTGACCCACTATAAGATCGGAGCTCTCTGTATGAACATAATTGAACACGAGCTGAAGAGGTACGACCTCTGGCAGGACGAACTGCAGAAGAAGGCGGCAGCCTATATCCTTCAGCAAAAGTCAAAGGTCACCTAAAATATGTTACATATCTTGCTGCTTGATTTTATTTTATTTTATTTGGTTCCCCATTAGCTGACGCCAATGGCGACAGCTAGTCTTACTGGGATCCGACACATAACGAAAACGACATTACAGACAGAGGGTCACCGCCTCAGGGTCCCTGCTGCCCTCAGTGCTGGCTGATATACAAAACACGACTATAAGCGCTCTTTGAGTTAATTGGTTCAATACAGCAGCACTCCTTCCTTGACTGATCTCACGTGACGATGACCCTGAGAACCAGAATGTGAAGAAGGAGCATGAGAAATCCTTCAAAAAGTACCAAGGTCTACTGATCAAGCAGGAGCAGCTTCTACGAGGTACAGTAACAGTACAGCACACTACCATGTCTAGCAGAGGGGTAGTGATGTGTTGTTACAGCAGTATTAGTGCTTGATAATGCTGTGATGTAATTGCATAGTAATTGCCAACTACATTGGTTATTACATAGTACTATGAAGTTGGATCACTATTTGATTCTCCAGTCCCCTCTCCTCTCCCTATCGCTCCCCAGTGGCTCTGTACCTGTTGTTGAACCTTGCTGAGGACATGCGCACCGAGCTGAAGATGAGGAACAAGAACATCGTCCACACCCTGGTGAAGATCCTGGACCGGGAGGACGAGGAGCTGCTGGTGCTGGTGGTCTCCTTCCTCAAGAAGCTCAGCATCTTCCTGGAGAACAAGAACGACATGGTGAGAGAGGGAGGGATGGAGGGAGTGAGTGAGAGGGGGGGAGAGAGAGAGGGGGGAGGGAGGGAGAGAGAGTGGGGGAGGGATGGAGAGGAGTTGCAACACGGTGAGGAAAATACAGTGAGCTCCAAAAGTATTGGGACAGTGACACATTTTTTGTTGTTTTGGCTCTGTACTCCAGCACTTCGGTTGAAGTGCAGACTGTCAGCTTTAATCGGAGGGTATTTTCATCCATATCGGGTGAACTGTTTAGAAGTTACAGCACCTTTTTGTATGCTGAACAAAAATATGAACGCAACATGTGAAGTGTTGGTCCAATGTTTCATGAACTGAAATAAAAGATCCCAGAAATGTTCCATAGGCACAAAAAGCTGATTTCTCTAAAATGTTGTGCACAAATTTGTTTACATCCCTCTTAGTGAGCATTTCACCTTTGCCAAGATAATTCATCCACCTGACAGGTGTGGCATATCAAGAAGCTGATTAAACAGCATGATCATTACACAGGGGCACCCAGTTTTGTCACACAACACAATGCCACAGATGTCTCAAGTTTTGAGGGAGCGTGGAATTGGCATGCTGAATGCAGGAATGTCCACGAGCTGTTGCCAGATAATTTAATGCTAATTTCTCTACAATAAGCCGCCTCCAACGTAGTTTTCGAGAATTTGGCCGTACGTCCAACCGGCCTCACAACCGCAGACCACATGTAATGACGCCGGCCCAGGACCTCCACATCCGGCTTCTTCACCTGCGGGATCGTCTGAGACCAGCAACCCGGACAGCTGATGAAACTGTGGGTTTGCACAACTGAAGAATTTCTGTACAAACTGTCAGAAAACGTCTCAAGGAAGCTCATCTGCGTGCTCATTGTCCTAACCAGGGTCTTGACCTGACTGCAGTTTGGCGTTGTAACTTACTTCAGTGGGCAAATGCTCACCTTCGATGGCCACTGGCATGCTGTAGAAGTGTGCTCTTCACAGATGAAACCGGGCAGATGTGGGCGAGCGGTTTGCTGATGTCAACGTTGTGAACAGAGTGCCCCATGGTGGCGGAGGGGTTATGGTATGGACAGGCATAAGCTACGGACAACAAACACAATTGCATTTTATCGATGGCAATTTGAATGCACAGAGATACTGTGACGAGATCCTGAGGCCCATTGTCGTGCCATTCATCCGCCGCCATTACCTCATGTTTCAGCATGATAATGCACGGCCCCATGTCGCAAAGATCTGTACACAATTCCTGGAAGCTGAAAATGTCCTAGTTCTTCCTTTGCCTCCATACACACCAAACATGTCACCCATTTATGTTTGGAATGTTCTGGATTGACGTGTAAGACAGCGTGTTCCAGTTCCCACCAATATCCAGCAATTTAGCACAGCCAACTCTATGCGGAGGAGATGTGACGCGCTGCATGAGGCAAATGGTGGTCACACCAGATACTGACTGGGTTTCTGATCCATGCCCCAACTTTGTTTTTAAAAGATATCTGTGACCAACAGATGCATATCTGTATTCCCAGTCATGTGAAATCGATAGATTAGGGCCTAATGAATTTATTTAAATTGACTGATTTCCTTATATGAACTGTAACTCAGTAAAATCTTTGAAATTGTTGCATGTTGCGTTTATATTTTTGTTTAGTGTACATAGTCCCCCCATTTTAGGGGACCAAAAGTATTGGGACAAATTTACTTATGTGTATTAAAATTGTCAAATGTTTAGTATTTTGTCCCATATTCCTTGCACGCAATGATTACATCAAGCTTGTGACTCTACAAACGTGTTGGATGCATTTGCTGTTTATTTTGGTTGTGTTTCAGATTATTTTGTGCCCAATAGATATGAATGGTAAATAATGAATTTAGTCATTTTGGAGTCACTTTTATTGTAAATATCATTCCCCCTCCCAAAAATGCTAACCTCCCCTGTTATTGTAATGGTGAGAGGTTAGCATGTCTTGGGGGTATGATATAAAATGCTAACCTCCCCTGTTATTGTAATGGTGAGAGGTTAGCATGTCTTGGGGGTATGATATTTGTGCATCTGTAACTTTCTCACTCATAATTATTCACGATCCATTCAGGACTATCCATAATCATGGTAGCATCCACATTAATGTAGAAGTGTTTTGAAACATATTACATTCTTATTTACAATAAAAGTGACTCCATAATGAAACAATACGTTATTTACCATTCATTTCTATTGGGGACCAAATAATCAAACACAACCAAAACAAACAACAAATGCATCCAACAAGTTTGTAGTCACAAGCTTGATGTAATCATTGCGTGCTAGGAATATGGGACCAAATAAACCTTTGACAACTTTAATACATGGAAAGTATTTAGACCCCTTCCCCTTTTCCACATTTTGTAGTCCCCTGTAGCTCAGTTGGTAGAGCATGGCGCTTGCAACGCCAGGGTTGTGGGTTCGTTTCCCACGGGGGGCCAGTATGAAAATTTAACTGTAAGTCGCTCTGGATAAGGGCGTCTGCTAAATGACAAAAATTTAAATGTAAATGTTTGTTACGTTACAGCCTTATTCTAAAATGGATTAAATTACTTTTTCCCTCATAAATCTACACACAATACCCCATAATAACAAAGCAAAAATAGGTTTTTAGAAATGTTTGCAAATTTATAAAATAAGAAAAGTTACCTTATTTACATAAATATTCAGACGCTTTGCTATGAGACTCGAAATTTAGCTCAGGTGCATCCTGTTTCCATTGATCATCCTTGATATGTTTCTACAACTTGATTGGAGTCCACCTGGGGTAAATTAAATTAATTAGACATGATTTGGAAAGGCTCACACCTGTCTATATAATGTCCCACAGTTGACAGTGCATGTCAGAGCAAAAACCAAGCCATGAGGTCGAAGGAATTGCCCGTAGAGCTCAACGACAGGATTGTGTTGAGGCACAGGTACCAAAAAATGTCTGCAGCATTGAAGGTCCCCAAGAACACAGTGGCCTACATCATTCTTAAATGGAAAAAGTTTGGAACCACCAAGACTCTTCCTAGAGCTGGACGCCCGGCCAAACTGAGCAATCTGGGGAGAAGGGCCTTGGTCAGGGAGGTGACCAAGAACCCAATGGTCACTCTGACAGAGCTCCAGATTTCCTCTGTAGAGATGGGAGAACAATCCAGAAGGACAACCATCTCTGCAGCAGTACACCAATCAGGCCTTTATGGTAGAGTGGCCAGACGGAAGCCACTCCTCAGTAAAAGGCACATGACAGCCCGCTTGGAGTTTGCCAAAAGGCACCTAAAGGACTCTCAGACCATTGGAAACAAGATTCTCTGGTCTGATGAAACCAAGATCGAACTCTTTGGCCTGAATGCCAAGCGTCACGTCTGGAGGAAACCTGGCACCATCCCTACGGTGAAGCATGTTGGTGGCAGCATCATGCTGTGGGGATGTTTTTCAGCGGCAGGGACTGGGAGACTAGTCAGGATCGAGGGAAAGATGAACAGAGCAAAGTACAGAGAGATCCTTGATGAAAACCTGCTCCAGAGTGCTCAGGAACTCAGACTGGGGCACCGGTTCACTTTCCAACAGAACAACGACCCTAAGCACACAGCCAAGACAATGCAGGAGTGGCTTCGGGACAAGTCTCTGAATGTCCTTGAGTGGCCCAGACAGAGCCCTGACCTGAACCCAATCAAAGATCTCTGGAGAGACCTGGAAATAGCTGTACAGCGACACTCCCCATCCAACCTGACAGAGCTTGAGAGGATCTGCAGAGAAGAATGGGAGAAACCCCCCCAAATACAGGTGTGCCAAGCTTGTAGCGTCATACCCAAGAAGACTCAAGGCTGTAATCGCTGCCAATGGTGCTTCAACAAAGTACTGAGTAAAGGGTCTGAATACTTATGTAAATGTAATATTTCCTTCTTTTTTTTATATACATTTGCAAACATTTCTAAAAACCTGTTTTTGCTTTGTCATTATGGGTTATTGTGTGTAGATTGATGAGTGGAAAAAACAATTTAATCAATTTTAGAATAAGGCTGTAACGTAACAAAATGTGGAAAAAGTCAAGGGGTCTGGATACTTTCCTAATGCACTGTAAGTGTATTAGTCCCAATAGTTTAGGTATCCTAAAATGGTACAAAATTGCTGTATTTTCTAAATGTTTTTTCATATGGATGAAAATACCCTGAAAGTAAAGCTGACAGTCTGCACTTTAACCTTGTGGTCATTGTATCATTTCAAATCCAAAGTGCCAGAGTACAGAGCCAAAAAAACAACAAATGTATCACTGTCCCAATACTTTTGGAGCTCACTGTCTCAGGTCCTCTGACTTACTGTAGAATGAGAATGTATAATTATTATTATTATTATTATTATTTTTTTTTTTATTATTATGTTGTACTCGTTAAAGATTTGTACTGGTTTACATTTAATTAGGGTTAGCGTTACTTTTGTTGATGCCTTCTAGTACAGTTGTAGGACTTCAGTGACCACTGCTTTACTTCCCTGTCTTACTGCAGTCCCACCTGGATCCAATCTCAGCCAGTTTGTGTGCCTTTTATTAAAGCCAGACTGAGTTAGGAACAGTTTTTGATCTCTTTGTTTCCTTTTAGTGTATCTTTGTCTCCGATAAAAGAACCCTTCGGGGTTCCAGCCCATTGTCTACACGAGTCCAGCAGAACAGAAGAGTAGTGCTCTCAACATGTTATTCACAGAGTATCACGTTACCTCAGGGGATGGTTTTAGTTGCAGGCTGATTAGCTACAAAAAGATAATTGGTTAGTGATTTGTCATCAAATTCTACTTACTACTCGTTTGTATTCAACACCAGATAACAGTTTTAAGATGGTGTAAGAACTGTAGTTGATTACTGTGCATACTAGATTTGTATTGGTGTCAGTGGATTTCCTTGTGAACACAATAGCAAGTGTAATTGACACACACACACACACACACACACACACACACACACACACACACACACACACACACACACACACACACACACACACACACACACACACACACACACACACACACACACACACACACACACACACACACACACACACACACACACACACACACACACACACACACACACACACCTCCAGTCCCAGTGTGTCCCTTTATAGACTGGTCCTTGATGCATCTGCTCAACACCTCCACCTACCTGTCAACACTGTGTATCTAGTCAACACTGCTTTCTCTGTACATGCAGGACAACATTCTTACCAAATTACAAAATAAGTTGAATTCATTTTAAGTAATTCATTGAATGAACAGATTTAAAATGAAACTGACCCCAACACAGGTGAAGTCTGATGAAGTCAAAGAAAGTGTTGTCGTGGAAATTCTTACACAGGGATACTCGAAGTCAATCTTAAATGAATCATTGTTTATTGTCAGCGTGCCGGAGAGGTTCTAACCAACTCAATGCACCATAGTACACATGTCAATCAGGAGCTCTGCTCGTACAGTCCCAGCAGTTGTTTTATATGCGGCTATACACAGAGAAGTTATATTTGCATGATTTAGCATAATGAATTAATCATTACCGTTTTGTTTCATTTACATTTACATTTACGTCATTTCATTCAATACCGGTTCATAACATGTGACAGACCAATACCTCACGAGGCTTCTTCTCTCTAAGCTGAGACCTTGAAACTGAGATATCTTTCGTTCTCAAAACAAGGTCTGGGCGTACTGCCAAATTGCAGCTACTGATAGTGAGGATTTGTTCAGTCAGTCACAGAGCATGAACACATAAATTGGTTTATAGAAAAGCACAAACATAGAAATTGGTAGACAGAAAAGCACCAACATAAAAATGCCCATCACATTCCACCCTCTTATCACTTGTGTGATACTAATCATTACATTTTAATGTAAGCATTTAGATTTGAGCTTCTATATCAAAATATTCTATATTCCTATTAAAGTAAGGGAAATCAACAACACCCTTCATTCTGGGTTGTACAATCCAATTAGTATGGTAATACTATAATCATAATAAAGGTTATACTTCTATTAATGGGAGTGAGTATCACAAATACACACACATACACAAGGGATCTGTAGATTCAGAGGTGAATAAATCTCTCAATGTAAACCATTGTTTCCTTATCTCTTACTACAATTGGGTTGGATTGACCTATGTTTTTCACTAACTGTCCCTGGGACATCAACATAGAATAATGTAAACAGGTTAAGGGTTCAGATTACCTTACCCTCAACTTGTTAAATGAAAAGAACCTTCAATCATTACTCATCATCCATATCTACAGTGGGGAGAACAAGTATTTGATACACTGCCATTTTTGCAGGTTTTCCTACTTACAACATTTACATTTACATTTACGTCATTTAGCAGACGCTCTTATCCAGAGCGACTTACAAATAGGTGCATTCACCTTATAGCCAGTGGGATAACCACTTTACAATGTTATTTTTTTTATTTTATTTTTTATTTATTTTTTTTTTTGGGGGGGGGATAGAAGGATTACTTTATCCTATCCCAGGTATTCCTTAAAGAGGTGGGGTTTCAAATGTCTCCGGAAGGTGGTGAGTGACTCCGCTGTCCTGGCGTCGTGAGGGAGCTTGTTCCACCATTGGGGTGCCAGAGCAGCGAACAGTTTTGACTGGGCTGAGCGGGAACTATGCTTCCGCAGAGTTAGGGGAGCCAGCAGGCCAGAGGTGGATGAACGCAGTGCCCTCGTTTGGGTGTAGGGACTGATCAGAGCCTGAAGGTACGGAGGTGCCGTTCCCCTCACAGCTCCGTAGGCAAGCACCATGGTCTTGTAGCAGATGCGAGCTTCAACTGGAAGCCAGTGGAGTGTGCGGAGGAGCGGGGTGACGTGAGAGAACTTGGGAAGGTTGAACACCAGACGGGCTGCGGCATTCTGGATGAGTTGTAGGGGTTTAATGGCACAGGAAGGGAGCCCAGCCAACAGCGAGTTGCAGTAATCCAGACGGGAGATGACAAGTGCCTGGATTAGGACCTGTGCCGCTTCTTGTGTAAGGCAGGGTCGTACTCTCCGAATGTTGTAGAGCATGAACCTACAGGATCGGGTCACCGCCTTGATGTTAGCGGAGAACGACAGGGTGTTGTCCAGGGTCACGCCAAGGCTCTTCGCACTCTGGGAGGAGGACACAACGGAGTTGTCAACCGTGATGGCGAGATCATGGAACGGGCAGTCCTTCCCCGGGAGGAAGAGCAGCTCCGTCTTGCCGAGGTTCAGCTTGAGGTGGTGATCCGTCATCCATACTGATATGTCTGCCAGACATGCAGAAATGCGATTCGCCACCTGGTTATCAGAAGGGGGAAAGGAGAAGATTAGTTGTGTGTCGTCAGCGTAGCAATGATAGGAGAGGCCATGTGAGGATATGACAGAGCCAAGTGACTTGGTGTATAGCAAGAATAGGAGAGGGCCTAGAACTGAGCCCTAGGGGACACCAGTGGTGAGAGCACGTGGTGCGGAGACAGCTTCTCGCCACGCCACTTGGTAGGAGCGACCGGTCAGGTAGGACGCAATCCAAGAGTGAGCCGCGCCGGAGATGCCCAGCTCGGAGAGGGTGGAGAGGAGGATCTGATGGTTCACAGTATCAAAGGCAGCAGACAGGTCTAGAAGGACAAGAGCAGAGGAGAGAGAGTTAGCTTTAGCAGTGCGGAGAGCCTCTGTGACACAGAGAAGAGCAGTCTCAGTTGAATGACCAGTCTTGAAACCTGACTGGTTTGGATCAAGAAGGTCATTCTGAGAGAGATAGCAAGAGAGTTGGCTAAAGACGGCACGCTCAATAGTTTTGGAGAGAAAAGAAAGAAGGGATACTGGTCTGTAGTTGTTGACATCAGAGGGATCGAGTGTTGGTTTTTTGAGAAGGGGTGCAACTCTCGCTCTCTTGAAGACGGAAGGGACATAGCCAGCGGTCAAGGATGAGTTGATCAGCGAGGTGAGGTAAGGGAGAAGGTCACCGGAGATGGTCTGGAGAAGAGAGGAGGGGATAGGGTCAAGCGGGCAGGTTGTTGGGCGGCCTGCCGTCACAAGTCGCAAGATTTTATCTGGAGAGAGAGGGGAGAAAGAAGTCAAAGCATAGGGTAGGGCAGTGTGAGCAGGACCAGCAGTGTCATTTGACTTAACAAACGAGGAACGGATGTCGTCAACCTTCTTTTCAAAATGGTTGACGAAGTCATCCACAGAGAGGGAGGAGGAGGAGGAGGGGGGGGGGGGGGATTCAGCAGGGAGGAGAATGTGGCAAAGAGCTTCCTAGGGTTAGAGGCGGATGCTTGGAATTTAGAGTGGTAGAAAGTGGCCTTAGCAGCAGAAACAGATTAAGAAAATGTAGAGAGGAGGAAGTGAAAAGATGCCAGGTCTGCAGGGAGTCTAGTTTTCTTCCATTTCCGCTCAGCTGCCCGGAGCTCTGTTCTGTGAGCTCGCAATGAGTCATCTTGCCACGGAGCTGGAGGGGAGGACCGAGCCGGCCGGGAGGATAGGGGACATAGAGAGTCAAAGGATGCAGAAAGGGAGGAGAGGAGGGTTGAGGAGGCAGAATCAGGAGATTGGAGGGAGAAGGATTGAGCAGAGGGAAGAGATGATAGGATGGAAGAGGAGAGAGTAGCGGAAGAGAGAGAGCGAAGGTTGCGACGGCGCATTACCATCTGTGTAGGGGCAGAGTGAGTAGTGTTGGAGGAGAGGGAGAGAGAAAAGGATACAAAGTAGTGGTCGGAGACTTGGAGGGGAGTTGCAGTGAGATTAGTAGAAGAACAGCATCTAGTAAAGATGAGGTCAAGCGTATTGCCTGCCTTGTGAGTAGGGGGGGACGGTGAGAGGGTGAGTTCAAAAGAGGAGAGGAGTGGAAAGAAGGAGGCAGAGAGAAATGAGTAAAATGTAGACGTAGGGAGGTTGAAATCCCCCAGAACTGTGAGGGGTGAGCCATCCTCAGGAAAGGAACTTATCAAGGCGTCAAGCTCATTGATGAACTCTCCAAGGGAACCTGGAGGGCGATAGATGACAAGGATATTAAGCTTAAATGGGCTAGTGACTGTGACAGCATGGAATTCAAATGAGGAGACAGACAGATGGGTCAGGGGAAAAATTTAGAATGTCCACTTGGGAGAGATGAGGATTCCTGTGCCACCACCCCGCTGACCAGATGCTCTCGGGGTATGCGAGAACACATGGTCAGACGAGGAGAGAGCAGCAGGAGTAGCAGTGTTTTCAGTGGTAATCCATGTTTCCGTCAGCGCCAAGAAGTCGAGGGACTGGAGGGTAGCATAGGCTGGGATGAAGTCTGCCTTGTTGGCAGCAGAACGGCAAAGCATGTAGAGGTCTGTAATTTTTATCATAGGGACACTTCAACTGTGAGAGACGGATTCTAAAACAAAAATCCAGAAAATTTTTAAGTAATTCATTTGCATTTTATTGCATGACATAAGTATTTGATCACCTACCAACCAGTAAGAATTCCGTCTCTCACAGACCTGTTAGTTTTTCTTTAAGAAGCCCTCATGTTCTCCACTCATTACCTGTATTAACTGCACCTGTTTGAACTTGTTACCTGTATAAAAGACACCTGTCCACACACTCAATCAAACAGACTCCAATCTCTCCACAATGGCCAAGACCAGAGAGCTGTGTAAGGACATCAGGGATAAAATTGTAGACCTGCACAAGGCTGGGATGGGCTACAGGACAATAGGTAAGCAGCTTGGTGAGAAGGCAACAACTGTTGGCGCAATTATTAGAAAATGGAAGAAGTTCAAGATGATGGTCAATCACCCTCGGTCTGGGGCTCCATGCAACATCTCACCTCGTGGGGCATCAATGATCATCAGGAAGGTGAGGGATCAGCCCAGAACTACACGGCAGGACCTGGTCAATGACCTGAAGAGAGCTGGGACCACAGTCTCAAAGAAAACCATTAGTAACACACTACGCCGTCATGGATTAAAATCCTGCCGCGCACGCAAGGTCCCCCTGCTCAAGCCAGCGCATGTCCAGGCCCGTCTGAAGTTTGCCAATGACCATCTGGATGATCCAGAGGAGGAATGGGAGAAGGTCATGTGGTCTGATGAGACAAAAATAGAGCTTTTTGATCTAAACTCCACTCGCCATGTTTGGACAAAGAAGAAGGATGAGTACAACCCCAAGAACACCATCTCAACCGTGAAGCATGGAGGTGGAAACATCATTCTTTGTGGATGCTTTTCTGCAAAGGGGACAGGACGACTGCACTGTATTGAGGGGAGGATGGATGGGGCCATGTATCACGAGATCTTGGCCAACAACCTCCTTCCCTCAGTAAGAGCATTGAAGATGGGTCGTGGCTGGGTCTTCCAGCATGACAACGACCCGAAACACACAGCCAGGGCAACTAAGGAGTGGCTCCGTAAGAAGCATCTCAAGGTCCTGGAGTGGCCTAGCCAGTCTCCAGACCTGAACCCAATAGAAAATCTTTGGAGGGAGCTGAAAGTCCGTATTGCCCAGCGACAGCCCCGAAACCTGAAGGATCTGGAGGTCTGTATGGAGGAGTGGGCCAAAATCCCTGCTGCAGTGTGTGCAAACCTGGTCAAGACCTACAGGAAATGTATGATCTCTGTAATTGCAAACAAAGGTTTCTGTACCAAATATTAAGTTCTGCTTTTCTGATGTATCAAATACTTATGTCATGCAATAAAATGCAAATTAATTACTTAAAAATCATACAATGTGATTTTCTGGATTTTTGTTTTAGATTCCGTCTCTCACAGTTGAAGTGTACCTATGATAAAAATTACAGACCTCTACATGCTTTGTAAGTAGGAAAACCTGCAAAATCGGCAGTGTATCTAATACTTGTTCTCCCCACTGTATAGGCGGAAATGAGCCTCATCCAGGGTTGGCAGCTCATTAGTTTCACCATCCTCTGGAGGAGCAGAAAACATGATAGCTGCTGAAATCTTATCAGCCAGAGAGGCACAGATCGCCTTACAGCATGTTAATAACATTTCACAGGGAAGAGAGAGAGAACGCATGTTATAAGATTCACACCAACCTTGCTAAGAATGAAATTGGGGCAAGGTTAGCCCAAGCTACAATCTAGTGGCTCTCCTCACATTTTTAGGACACAGCTCTGTCTCTAGAAGCCTTGCCTTTCCAAATCATAATTATAACTATTGATAAATTATCCAACCCAAATTTAGAATGACAGTCCTTAGTGCTTCACGTTGGTTCTATCACTTTAATTTAAGACCCTCAGCTTAGCACACACCGATACTGGCAGAATGTACATTTAAATGTACATACATTACATTTTTCTAGCATTAACTTTTCTCATCATGGCCCCCATTTGTGGTAATGACAGATTGGTATCTCAATGCATTCTCTGTCTAAATTACTATGAATTTCACAGTGTGCAGACCTCCACAATCAACTTGATACCGCAAATATTTTTTTATGCCTAAATCAATTACGGGCACGGTTGACCACCCCTCTCCCTCCCGGCACTCATCTTCTGCCGTTTCTTCATGTTCTTCTTCAGATAGTGTTTCAATTCGTCCTTTAATGGCACATGTTCAAAGTAGATGGCCCTTGATAATGTCTCACCTGAGCCGCCACTGTCCTTTACAGTCTATTATGTCTCGTCCATTTTCCCACCAGTACACCAGCAAGTTTGGATGGGATCTCTCTCCATGCTCACTCCACGTGGACTCATGTCGCACTCCTGAGAGAAAAGGCATGAGAGAAAAGGCAGTTGATAGTTTCGACTGGATGCTGTGTACAGGTTGCTGGCTTGGACTCAGGTCTCACGGTAGAAGTGGTGAAGGACCAGGGCCATAATGAATGCCATTTTTTGCCATTGCTTCAGCCAGTTAGAGGGGGTGAGGTTCACACTGTTCTCGGCCGAATTATCATCCATGCATCAAGACACCATCTGTGGTCACCTTCGCCATAACCTCCAGAGAGAGACAGACCAGAACAACAGTTTAGTTTAGAGCATTTCTGTTTCAGGAAATCCAGACAAATTATTTACTGTATGACAAATTATTACTACTACCTGGTTCTTAATACAGATTTCTAAAACAAATGTCAAAGAATAACAACACACAGTTGAAACCTATTTCCCCCCCCCCAAATTGGCTTATACTCCCCTATCATCTTGGCTGCAGTTACAGGGTCAGGGGGTTAGAGGGCTAATCCTTAGGGAGAAATCCCGACCATCCAGCAGACCCAATCTGGTGAGATTTGTTATTGAAGCAAGACAAAAACAAACAAACAACACAACAACAGCAATACTAATTCATATAAAACTAGAGGTGGGGAAAACTTTAATCCATTTGTAGTAACTGTCAACTATTACCAACATATCTTTCTTCTTTTTACAGGCAGGCATGTGAAGAAAATCAATTTGCATATTTACCAAAAAAACAACAACAACAGTGCCTGTTAATTCAAAAATTAACTAATTAAAATAACACATCAAATTAGAAATACAACTCTTGATAACTCCATAAGCAAATGATTGTATCCCATAAGGTAATGGTAAAATATACTAAAGACAGGTGTCCCTCCAGGGGCAGCACTCTTTCTCTGTCCTTCTCTTGGTCCGAATCACACATAGGACTATTGATAAATTATAAATGTCTTCTAATTATTAGTGTTTACGTAGCCCATTTAAATGTCACCCAATGTCTCCAGTCTTCCTAGTGAGGGTGATCAGACCTCACCAGGAAGTTCGAACAGAGGTCAGAGGTCAGTCAGCCCTATTAAGTGAGTGTTTGTTTTCCTGTACCTCAGACATTATTTAAAGATATTTCAAACATTTCAAACATTCTGTGTATCAGGTTTACATTGGGTTTTTCAGTACATTTCTTCTAATCAAGAGAAATTACATGTGTGCACCCAAAACTCTGACAATAGAAACTTCAAAACATTTCATTTGTGTACGGCATCCTTTCTAACGCTTGAAAACCCCACTAAAACAGAAAGAAAAATACCCCACACTTCTAAATCAAACAGAGTATTAACCACTAACAAATATTAATTAACAGGTGGGTTGTGTGTGAGTGCTGGTGTGTGTGTGGTAAAAATCGTAGGGTAAACACAAACAAAATGGTCTTGCTTAATTTGGGAGGCCCCTTATCAGCTGGATCCGGGTACTTTTGACTGCTCTCCTAAGGCACCTGCCTCAGGAAGCCTTTCAAAGGGAGAGATACAGAATCATTGATAAACATGTAAAAAATACTTGGTAGTGGACATTCATCAGTCCTGGAAGAAAGAAAATAAACATAATCGAGTGTACTGCATCTTGGGCAGGGAGTCTTAATAAACCGGCAGGTAGCTTAGTGGTAAAGAGCGTTGTGCCAGTAACCGAAAGGTCGCTGGTACTAATCCCCGAGCCGACTAGGTGAAAAATCTATCGATGTGCCCTTGAGCAAGGCACTTAACCCTAATTGCTCCTGTAAGTCGCTCTGGATAAGAGCGTCTGCTAAATGACTAAAATGTAAATGTAAACCCATGCATATACAGAATTATACTTCAGACACCAGATGATACAGTGTCCCTTAAAGCTGAATTAGGCACCTTCTAAAGTAAACAATCCCAGAGCCCCTCTTAAATCCCTGGTGCTACCCAAACTATAGAATTGAGAAATACATTTTCAAAAACGTGTCTTATTCAATTATTCACCTCTGTCCCAAATTTCCCACTGTCTCTCTTACAGCCTGTTTGAGTTCAGTGTGTCCTGGCGGCTATCTATTGTTCCACCGGAAGCTTATCTCTTAACCCAAACACCAGATGGCTTAAACACGAGAGCAGTGGACGAGGCACTGAAGAGTGAGCTGCCTCTAATTGAAGTCGCAATGCTCAATTCCTCTGTCTTACTTCTTCAAATTACTAAGATATTGCATTATTGGATTTCTATCTGAAAGCCAATTACCATTCACTTTGTTACTTTCACTAGTCTCCATATCTGTTTCCCTCAACCTGGACTTCCTTCCATATAGGAAGACCTCAACCACTACTGCTTAACACATGGATCACTCTCAAACAACATTCTTATTTCCCCCCTATTGCAAGGTTTAAAACAAAACAAAACAAACATGATAACTTTCTCCATATTGGAAGGCATTGTTTTTCAAAAGTATACCTTCAAAAAGTTACTCTATATTTTTATTACCAATTTCTGTTGGATATTCACTTACTGCTTAAATATTTATTAAATGTCTATTATTTAAAGATTCATATGTAATGCTTTAAATGGATCAATATGTATTAACTGGGTTGGCACTGTCTCAGTCCCCAGTAGATGTCACGCTTCGTCCATAATAAGTCTGGCACCTGAGACAGCAGGGAAACAGATGCAGTTTCCATTTTGCCTACTCACGAATTGGTTTAGAACGTCATCATTTGGGATATCATTGAAAACTCCATCGGGAGTACAATAAATTGTAGCCTTTTAAGTTTAGTTAATAGAAAATCATGTTCAACATTCATTAGTTCTATTTAACAGGGTATGGGGTTTATTTCAAAATGCATTACCAGGGTGGAGGAAATCTTCTACGCGTTTATAGTTCTATTGGTTAGGGGTAAGTCAAGTTCCGTACAATGTTTTAACCTTATCATACCTCAAATTATCCATAAAGGGACCACTCTGAACATTTCTCAGAATACCTTTTTTACACCACTTACGTACGTCTATGTGTGGGTGTGCAAGTATATTATTGTTATTATTTCTATTGTTACTTCATCATATCTCTAGTAACCTATTATACTCAATATTATGTTACTTTATCTCTAGTAACCATTATACATTTGTGTCACATCACAAATTCCTCCTCTACACAAGTGTTCTATTCATACAGGGGTTTAAATATTCCCTCGTGTTCTATTTAACAGCATATTCGGAAATAGTACTCTCATCTTTCAAATCTCACCTCCACACTGCAGCAACAATCACAGCGCAGCAGCCCGAGAGGTACACATATCTTTCAATGGCTTCTCCTGTCAGTGCTCACTACCTGTAGATCAATGGGCAGTGGTGGACAGAACCTGTAGATAACGTTATAGTTCTAAAAACTCAGCTCACAGAACTGGCTGGGGTATCCATTCTTTCACACACTCAGTAATCCTCTTTCATACCGGAGCTAGTCCCCTGACAGCTCGCTTTCACTCAGTAATTTATAGCTACATTTCTCAATCAATCTTATTATCCAAATTCCAATCTAAATAGTAATAATTTCAATCCATTTATTCTCCAAATTTCAATCAGCCAAATTTCAATCTTAATAGTAATAATTTCTAAATTTCAATCAATCTTATTATCCAATCAACTTAATTTCCAAATTTCAATCAATCTGCTCTTGTTATCCAAATTTCAATCACCATAATATGTCATATCTCACAATCACACAACTTTCACATCCACATTCACTTAGGACTATTCCCAAACTCACTCGGGAATCTCCCTCATTACCCCATGTGCATCGTCAACGATTCTCTTGTTGTTACTTGCTATGCACCATATGTATCTTCACTATACATATAAAATAGCACAGAGTGCACCTTATGATATTCTCTACCAGTGGCTGCAGACCATGTAGAAATTCCTCTTATAAATGCCTACAGACAGCTGTCAGCGGGCCATGGTACCGTTACTTGCCCTCGCTCTAGTCTTCTCTCTAAGACTAGCTCTAGCCTTCTTCCACGTCATATGTATCTTCAACGGTTCCTCTATAGTCTCCACAGTCGACATAGTCTCTACAGTATCCATGGTCCCTGAGCATCTGTAGTCCCTGAGCATCCATAGTCCCTATAGTTATAGCATCTATGGTCCCTACAGCATCTATAGTCCCTCAGCATCTACAGTCCCTCAGCATCCATAGTATCAATAGTTGATATAGTCATAAATGCTATGGTCTCTATAGGCTCTGTAGTCTTGCCGCTTCCCATACATGTAAATAACACCCCGTATTCAAAAACACATTGTGTTATTTTGTAGGCTAGTGGTACCCTCCTTCTACATCTTCATTGGTTTTATATATCTATATATTTTATATTTTATACAAATTAATTACAATTGACTTACTGAAATCCGTTGCCCTCAATTGTTTACAGATGATGTGTCTCCTCCTGGGCAGCTCACAGTAAGGGTCCTCGTCCGGTCAGATGGGAATTTACCTCACGCTTCATAAAATGCGCCAATGTGACAATGTCTCCCTCAGTGTCTCCTCTCCTCTGTTCCCTGGTGTTCAGGCAGAGACGTATGCTGTGGAGAAACTGGCCAGGCTGCTGCCCTGTAAGCATGAAGACCTATTGAACACTACACTGCGCCTGCTCCTCAACCTCTCCTTCGACACAGGCCTCCGCAGCCAGATGGTCCAGGCTGGACTCATCCCCAAACTCTCTTCACTGCTAGGTACACTACTCACTGACACAACTGTGTGTGTGTGTGTACATGTATGTGTGCACTCGTGTGTAGGCTGTTATAGCGCTGTGGGCACAGCAAGGCTGGCTCTGTTTCTGGTTCTGGTGGCCATTAGAGAAATGACTTCCTGAAACTAGATAATGTGTGTGGCTGGTGTGTTAGCTCATCCAGGGGGTAATGTGGCATGGCTGGGAGCATCTGTGATGGGCCTTTTAAAGCCTCTCCAGGGAGGGTTGGGTAATGTGCATAATTAATATAATATATTTGTTAGAATAATACGCTGGGCCGCAGCATAAATGTTGTTTTTGCAGGAGCCGGCCGGAAAGGCTGAGGGGTCTACAGAGATTTGTGAGGGTTTTTATTTTCATTTTATGAATGAGACACACACTTGTGCACGCACATGAGCGCACACGCATACTCACACACATGATATGCAGGCACATGCCTGTCCACGCTTAGGCTAAACATAGCCGAATACACTCCCCTACATATGTACAGTTGAAGTCGGAAGTTTACATACACTTAGGTTGAAGTCATTAAAACTTGTTTTTCAACCACTCCACAAATTTCTTGTTAACAAACTATAGTTTTGGCAAGTTCGTTCGGACATCTACTTTGTGCATGACACAAGTAATTTTTCCAACAATTGTTTACAGACAGATTATTTCACTTATAATTCACTGTATCACAATTCCAGTGGGTCAGAAGTTTACATACACTAAGTTGACTGTGCCTTTAAACAGCTTGGAAAATTCCAGAAAATGATGTCATGGCTTTAGAAGCTTCTGATAGGCTAATTGACATAATTTGAGTCAATTGGAGGTGTACCTGTGGATGTATTTCAAGGCCTACCTTCAAACTCAGTGCCTCTTTGCTTGACATCATGGGAAAATCATAAGAAATCAGCCAAGTCCTCAGAAAAAAATATTATAGGCCTCCACAAGTTGGGTTCATCCTTGGGAGCAATTTCCAAACGCCTGAAGGTACCACGTTCATCTGTACAGACAATAGTACGCAAGTATAAACACCATGGGACCACGCAGACGTCATACTGCTCAGGAATGAGACGCGTTCTGTCTCCTAGAGATGAACGTACTTTGGTGCGAAAAGTGCAAATCAATCCCAAAACAACAGCAAAGGACCTTGTGAAGATGCTGGAGGAAACAGGTACAAAAGTATCTATATCCACAGTAAAACAAGTCCTATATCGACATAACCTGAAAGGCAGCTCAGCAAGGAAGAAGCCACTGCTCCAAAACCGCCATAAAAAAGCCAGACTAAGGTTTGCAACTGCACATGGGGACAAAGATCGTACTTTTTGGAGAAATGTCCTCTGGTCTGATGAAACAAAAATATAACTTTTTGGCCATAATGACCATCGTTATGTTTGGAGGAAAAAGGGGGTAGCTTTCAAGCCGAAGAACACCATCCCAACCGTGAAGCACGGGGGTGGCAGCATCATGCTGTGGGGGTGCTTTGCTACAGGAGGGACTGGTGCACTTCACAAAATAGATGGCATCATGAGGAAGGAAAATTATGTGGATATATTGAAGCAACATCTCAAGACATCAGCCAGGAAGTTAAAGCTTGGTCGCTAATGGGTCTTCCAAATGGACAATGACCCCAAGCATACTTCCAAAGTTGTGGCAAAATGGCTTAAGGGACAACAAAGTCAAGGTATTGGAGTGGCCATCACAAAGCCCTGACCTCAATCCTATATCCTGTGTGGGCAGAACTGAAAAAGCATGTGTGAGCAAGGAGGCCTACAAACCTGACTCAGTTACACCAGCTCTGTCAGGAGGAATGGGCCAATATTCACCCAACTTATTGTGGGAAGCTTGTGGAAGGCTACCCGAAACGTTTGACCCAAGTTAAACAATTTAAAGGCAATGCTACCAAATACTAATTGAGTGTATGTAAACTTCTGACTCACTGGGAATGTGATGAAAGAAATAAATGCTGAAATAAATCATTCTCGCTACTATTATTCTGACATTTCACATTCTTAAAATAAAGTGGTGATCCCAACTGACCTAAAACAGGGAATTTTTACTAGGATTAAATGTCAGGAATTGTGAAAAACTGAGTTTAAATGTATTTGGCTAAGGTGTATGTAAACTTCCGACTTCAACTATATTTGGACAGTGATGCATTTTTTTTTTTTGATTTGGCTCTACTCCAGCATTTTTTATTTGACATCAAATGTTTCATATGAGGTGACAGTACAGAATGTTGCCTTATATTTGATGGTATTTTCATACATATCTGATTTTACCGTTTAGAAATTAAAGCACTTTATAGCCTAGATCTTGTACCTCCCATTTGAAAATGTCATAAGTATTTGGACAAATTTCACTTATAGTGTAGCAAAGTAGTGAAAAGTTTAGTATTTGGTCACATATTCTAGCACGCAATGACTAAATCAAGCTTGTGACGCTATAAACATGTTGGATGCATTTGCAGTTTGTTTTGGTTGTGTTTGGGCTATGTTTTGCCCAATAGGAACTGAATGGTGAATGATGATTGGAGAAAATGTATTTCTAAGTGAGTATATAAGAACACTTCTAAACCAATCCTGATAATGAAGTGTTTTAAAAAAATCATAAATTAATCAAATCGAATCAAATGTTATTTGTCACATGCGCCGAATACAACACGTTAAATGCTTACTTACAAGCCCTTAACCAACAATGCAGTTCAATAAATAGAGTTAAGAAAATATTTACTAAATAAAATAAATAATAAATAAAACACAATAAAATAACAATAACGAGACTATATACAGGGGTTACCGGTACCGAGTCAATGTGTGGGGGTATAGGTTAGTCGAGGTAATTTGTACATGTAGGTAGGGGTGAAGTGACTATGCATAGATAATAAACAGCGAGTAGCAGCAGTGTAAAAACAAAAGGGGGTGGGGGGGGGATTGTCAATGTAAATAGTTCAGGTGGCCATTTGATTAATTGTTCAGCAGTCTTATGGCTTGGGGGTAGACGCTGTTAAGGAGCCTTTTGAACCTAGACTTGGCACTCCGTACCGCTTGCCGTGCGGTAGCAGAGAGAACAGTCTATGACTTGGGTGACTGGAGTCTTTGACAATTTTTTGGGCCTTCCTCTGTTACCGCCTAGTATATAGGTCCTGGATGACAGGAAGCTTGGCCGCAGTGATGTACTGGGCTGTACACACTACCCTCTGTAGCGCCTTACGGTCGGATGCCGAGCAGTTGCCATACCAGGCGGTGATGCAACCAGTCAGGATGTTCTCGATGGTGCAGCTGTAGAACTTTTTGAGGATCCGGGGACCCATGCCAAATCTTTTCAGTCTCCTGAGGGGGAAAAGGTGTTGTTGTGCCCTCTTCACGACTGTCTTGGTGTGTTTGGACCATGATAGTTTGTTGGTGATGTGAACACCAAGGAACTTGAAACTCTCGTTCCACTCCACTACAGCCCCGTCGATGTTATTGGGGGCGTGTTCGGCCCTCCTTTTCCTGTAGTCCACGATCAGCTCCTTTGTCTTGCTCACGTTGAGGGAGAGGTTGTTGTCCTGGCACCACATGACTAATGATGAGAAAGTTAGAGTCTACAACAAAGCATGCTAACCTCTCATTGTTACCAATAATGAGGGAGATTAGCATTGGTAACTTTCTCACTGATCATCATTCACGATACATGGGTGATTATGCAGAATCATGGTAGCATCCACATTCATGTAGAAATGTTCACAAACATTTTCTATTCTCACTTACAATAAAAGTGACTCCAGAATGACACTTTTTCTGTATCACTGTCTAAATTAGGGTTGCAAAGGGTATGTTACACTCCAACCCAAGCGCTCCGTTCTACCACCTCTGGTCTCTTGGCCCTCCCACCCGTACGGGAGGGCAGCTCTAACTCAGCCCAGTCCAAGCTCTTCTCTGTCCTTGCACCCCAATGGTGGAACCAGCTTCCCCCAGAAGCTAGTCCATGTTGAGTGACAACCTATGTAATTTGCAAGGTTATTGTTCTCTATGCGCTGTTTTAAAATGGTGGTTTAAAGTGAGCTACCGGAGACACAACTCTCATCTGGCTGTACCTGCTGAACGGGGCTTACAATATATTTTATTTGGATCGTTCATGTTCACCTACAGCAATAGTTTTGAATAGTTTTGCTTTAAACAGGGTATATGGTAATTTGTAGATATACAGGGTAAAGTTGATTCATAATTTTATAACGAGGACAGCAATCACTTTTGCGAGGCGCACTGCATGTCCGAAGCGAAGCGGTAGGACAAAAGAAACTCACTCCGTAAAAACTTAATAACCATTCGATTTTTAAATGGGGGTGAAATCCAAACTTGTGCTATACACTGAGTGTACAAAACATTAAGAACTCTTTCCATGACATCGACTGACCAGGTGAATGCTATGATTCCTTATTTATGTCACTTGTTAAATCCACTTCAATAAGTGTAGATGAAGGGGAGGAGACAGGTTAAAGAAGGATTTTTAAGCCTTAAGACAATTGAGACATGGATTGTGTATGTGTGCCATTCAGAGGGTGGGCAAGACAAATTATTGAAGTGCCTTTGAACGGGGTATGGTAGTAGGTGCTATGCGCACAGATTTGTGTCAAGAACTGCAACGCTTCTAGGTTTTTCACGCTTAACAATTTCCCGTGTGTATCAAGAATGGTCCACCACCCAAAGGACAGCCAACTTGACACAACTGTTGGACGCATTGGAGTCAACATGGGCCAGCATCCCTTTGGAACGCTTTCGACACCTGCCCTGACGAATTGAGGCTGTTCTGAGGGCAAAAGGGGGGGGGGGGTGCAACTCAATATTAGGAAGGTGTTCTTAATGTTTTGTACGCTCATTCATTGACTATATCATTACTAGCTCAAATACTCAATCTGCAAAAATGACAAGTTAATTAGTGGGTGATGGTGATTTCAGAACCAAAGGGACAAAAAACATAGCTACATTGCCCCCCTAATCTGATAGTGGTAGTGGGGTGGTAGATGCCTAGTCTTCCTTATGGCTCAGCTCAGGTGCCTACGTAGTAAATACACCATAGACGTACATCATTTACACACACATACACACAAACCTAGTACAGTGAGGGAAAAAAGTATTTGATCCCCTGCTGATTTTGTACGTTTGCCCACTGACAAAGACATGATAAGTCTATAATTTTAATGGTAGGTTTATTTGAACAGTGAGAGACAGAATAACAACAAAAAAATCCAGAAAAAACGTATGTCAAAAATGTTATTAATTGATTTGCATTTTAATGAGGGAAATAAGTATTTGCAAAACATGACTTAGTACTTGGTGGCAAAACCCTTGTTGGCAATCACAGAGGTCAGACGTTTCTTGTAGTTGGCCACCAGTTTGCACACATCTCAGGAGGGATTCTGTCCCACTCCTCTTTGCAGATCTTCTCCAAGTCATTAAGGTTTCGAGGCTGACGTTTGGCAACTCGAACCTTCAGCTCCCTCCACAGATTTTCTATGGGATTAAGGTCTGGAGACTGGCTAGGCCACTCCAGGACCTTAATGTGCTTCTTCTTGAGCCACTCCTTTGTTGCCTTGGCCGTGTGTTTTGGGTCATTGTCATGCTGGAATACCCATCCACGACCCATTTTCAATGCCCTGGCTGAGGGAAGGAGGTTCTCACCCAAGATTTGACGGTACATGGCCCCGTCCATCGTCCCTTTGATGCAGTGAAGTTGTCCTGTCCCCTTAGCTGAAAAACACCCACAAAGCATAATGTTTCCACCTCCATGTTTGATGGTGGGGATGGTGTTCTTGGGGTCATAGGTAGCATTCCTCCTCCTCCAAACACGGCGAGTTGAGTTGATGCCAAAGAGCTCCATTTTGGTCTCATCTGACCACAACACTTTCACCCAGTTCTCCTCTGAATCATTCAGATGTTCATTGGCAAACTTCAGACGGCCCTGTATATGTGCTTTCTTGAGCAGGGAGACCTTGCGGGCGCTGCAGGATTTCAGTCCTTCACGGCGTAGTGTGTTACCAATTGTTTTCTTGGTGACTATGGTCCCAGCTGCCTTGAGATCATTGACAAGATCCTCCCGTGTAGTTCTGGGCTGATTCCGTTCTCATGATCATTGCAACTCCACGAGGTGAGATCTTGCATGGAGCCCCGGGCCGAGGGAGATTGACAGTTCTTTTGTGTTTCTTCCATTTGCGAGTAATCGCACCAACTAATGTCACCTTCTCACCAAGCTGCTTGGCGATGGTCTTGTAGCCCATTCCAGCCTTGTGTAGGTCCCTGACATCCTTGGAGAGCTATTTGGTCTTGGCCATGGTGGCGAGTTTGGAATCTGATTGATTGATTGCTTCTGTGGACAGGTGTCTTTTATACAGGTAACAAGCTGAGATTAGGAGCACTCCCTTTAAGAGTGTGCTCCTATTCTCAGCTCGTTACCTGTATAAAAGACACCTGGGAGCCAGACATCTTTCTGATTGAGAGGGGGTCAAATACTTATTTCCCTCATTAAAATGCAGATCAATTTATACATTTTTGACAAATGCGTTTTTCTGGATTTTGTTGTTGTTATTCTGTCTCTCACTGTTCAAATAAACCTACCATTAAAATTACAGACCGATAATTTCTTTGTCAGTGGGCAAACGTACAAAATCAGCAGGGGATCAAATACTTTTTTCCCTCACTGTACATACGCCATAGACATACATCATTTACACACACACACGCACAGAAGTCAGCCCAGACAGATCCAGCTCAGAGAGCTCCAGCTTATGAGTGCCATCAACAGCAGATTTTTATTTAGAATGAAAAATCAATGTGTTTATGCAGAAAATGTTAGTGTATCGCATCGAACCGAATCGCATCAATTCGTTCTCTAATCAAACCGAATCGCACCGAATTGTTTCAAACTAAACCGTATCATTCCTGTATTGGAGCACGTCTCTACATACGTATCGAATCAACTTGAAAGGGAAAGATGCACATCCCTGCTATACTGTATATAAATATATTTTTAAAATTATTCAAGTATAAATGACCAAAGTTACCATAGATTACCTGTTGATTGCCAAAATTACTGAAAGTTCTGGTAACTTTGCAACCCTAGTCGAAATACATACATATGGGAGTGTACATCTCATTTAGAGCGTGTTTCTGTGTGTGCACTTGTAAGATTCACTCTCTCCCATTGCTCTTAAACTTTGGGCTACTGTTTGGGATCGTTAAAATTAAGAAAAGCCCCTAACCAAAAAATGATGTTTTGAATTAATTTTCTTCCCACAAAATGTAAATCAAAGTGCAGTTATCACAAAACATATTATTTTCCGTGTTATAGCCTAACTAGATGGTAGGCTATAAAGGCCTGGGGAAAGTTGTGTAATTTAAAGAAAACCGGTGAGGAGGAGGCGAACTTTAGGCTATTTTAGTAAAGGCATACAAGACATTGCAAGATACAGATTAAGACATTCTTTCTGCCTGACCCCCCCCCTCTCTCTCCCTTGCGCTGGCTCGCCTGCACTTACTCTTTGCTAATGTTGTGAGTGTGTGTTCAGTCTTCGGTCTGCTGCGTGTAGAATATCCTAGCCTATTCATTGATGATAGGCCCTGCTTTACTGAAGTTGCGAGACATTGCAAGCCGAAAAATTGCAAGATGCAGCATTCCATTGCGAGATACAGCTTTTGATTGCCGATAGATAGGCCTAGTGCACGGTTCTGACTCCGTCTGCCTGGTGGCCGACCTGCCTATACTGTGCCCATCCCCTCTCTCCGTCCCACACTAGCTCGCTATGAAAGATGCAAGTGTTCGTGTTCTCGGAAGTACAGCTCCTAAATAGTCTCCTCCGTTCCAAAAATCTGAATCAAAACTTTACTCGACGTGCAAGGGAGTCCACGTGCAAGAAGTCGAGGAATCAACTATTTTGGAGTCGACTCTCCACCACTACGTCATAATCATTAACAGTTGGAAAATGGCAGAGAAAGGCAAGCGACAGCAACAGGGTCCTGTATGGCAATACTTTGACAAGTTACATTTACATCATTTAGCAGACGCTCTTATCCAGAGCGACTTACAAATTGAGAAGGAAATGAGAAGGAAAAGCAAACTTTGCGAGGTGGAATTGAGGTACAGTAATGGTAGTGTAGGTGCAATGCTTAACCATCTGAAAGGGACGCAACATGAGACCCAAACCGTTGCTGGGAGCAGTGCAGCTGCATAGTGAGTTCACGTGGAATTTAATGCATTTTTCTCTTAACGGAAAACCGCCCCAAAAATGGCAGTTTAAACGTTAAGATTTTTTTTTCATTTGTCACATCCCTAGTATTTGTGTGGGTGTTCAGTATGTGTGTCAGTGTGGTTTTCAAACTGCGATTAATTGAAGTCCTGTTAATCATCCTATTGGCTCTGTCCTGTTTTCTGTGTGGAAGTACTGTCCAGAGATTTCCCTCTTATCTCCAGAGAGAGACGCTCCTCTCTGCTCTGCTCCGGTCCGGTCCGTTCTGAGGGTGTGAGGGGACAGCTACAATCCCTATGCCATCAGCCCCCAATAGGGGTCGCAACCCGGGCTGATAAGATGAAAGGGAGAAGGGTGAGCTACACCTCATCTTCGCCTTCCTCGTGATCCCACCACCTGAATGAGGATATACATCACAACCCTTTCAACCCTTCACCTGACCATTGGCCTTGTGTTGTTGACGACTACTATCCATGGGTGCTGCCGAAATACCACGTTTTACTCCAAATTTACTCCAGAATCATTCCATTTGGACAATTTCACTGGGACTTTTTGCCGGGACTTTTTCTTAGAAGCATTTTCACCATTTGATGTGCATTATGGGTTTTCTTTTTGAAGACTGAACCAGTACTCTTATTTACTCAGTAAATTGCACAAACAACAGAATAGTATACTGTCCACAGAACTGCCCCAGGCGCCACTAATGCATGGCGGTGTGATTTTATGAAGGTTGGGTGGTTTTAATTCAGAGCAGAGTGTAATTGGAGTTTAGCTCCCTCACTAACTGCCCCTGAACACTCAAGTTAATTCTTAACGGCTCCCCGCTCTTCTTTTTTTTCAGTGGGTCTCTAGTGGTGTTTAGTACATTTAATGGGGTTTCTCTCCTTCCCTATAAAGGATCCTCCATGTTTCTACCGGTGTAGTGAGGGAGTTTTCCAGGTCAGATGAGAGAGTGTGTGTGTGTGAGCTCATGTGAGGCAACAAGTGTGAGCGTGTGTGTTAAGGTATAGGTTGAGGGCTCCACTAATGAGAAGCACGTGTGGGCCAATCACAGCACTGCAAGGGCCTGAGCAGTGTAGCTTTAACTTATTAAAGGCAGTAAAATTGATGCTTCCTCCTGTTTTCCCAATTAAACCTCCAAGCCGTCTCTTTTCTCTTGTTTCCAGGGGTTCGGTAAGCACATCTGGTTCCAGTAGGCTGCTATGTGATAAGGCTGCCTGCCCTGCATGGTCACTGACCACGGGTTAGGTTAGGACCAGTTAGAACTATACTGGGTCAGTCTGGTCTGTCAGATCTGTGGTCCTTCATCACCCTAGTTCTGACCCAGTGTGGTCGGTCACTGCAGTCACTCTCTCTCTAGAAACTAGTCTTCACATGAAACAATGTCCTAGGCCCTCAGACTCATAACCCCATGATGTTGGTGAGCTATCTCTCTGGAGCGTCCTGCAGTCACCCTGCAGTGGTTTGGGTCAAACTCATAAACACTCTGAGAGAGCTGCCTGACAGATTAACACTGAATCATAGAGTCAGAGCCACGTTCTTTAGACTGCTGTAAAATAACCTCTTATAAACGTGCAAAAAGAAAATGTGTTCATTGTCTTTCAATGGCTAGCTTTATTACTAAACCATATCATCCTAGAGAGCTGGTTAACTGTATGTTATTTAAGCTGTGTTGTAGTGGACGTATGGGTTGTCCACTAGCCTTGTCCAAGACTTTTGGACATTTGAATCTCCATGAAGCAGAAATTAAGTACAGCTCTTCATTCATTCATCCATTTACCCCTCTCTGTGCTTCTCTTCTCTCTGTGTATGTTTCAGCTGACGAGAGCCAGAGACAGCTGTGTATGTGCATTCTGTACCACATCAGTGTGGACGACAGATTCAAGTCCATGTTTGCCTACACAGACTGCATACCACAGGTAAGACTGGGTAATGTACACTCAAGGGCTGAGGCCGCAGCCCAGACAGCATTAGCATCGAGGCTAACAGTCTTGGAATTATGCATGAGAAAGAGGGAGAGGGAGGGAAAGGGATGTAGAGAGGGAACGATGGATGGAAAGAGGGAGGGATAGAAAGGGATGGAGAGGGTGGGAGAAATGGAGAGAGCGGAATGAATAGAGAGTGGTAGGAATGGAGAGAGAAAGAGAGGAATGGAGAGAGAGGGGGGCATGCTACATCTGCACCCAAATCGCCAAAGGACGGCTGCTCAGCCTTCACTCTCACTGATGACAGCTCCGTGTTTTTTAACTATGTTTTTTTTCATCCTTTCCACTTATTGGAGCGCTGGAGAAAACCTTGCGTCATTCATCTAACCAGCCCTCAGTGAAAAAAGGCCCTTCTCTCCATCTTCTCTATGGTCTAGGCCTATTTGGTGTACGTAGAATGCACTAATAGGGAATATCTAGATTTTAAGTGTACATGATGTTAGTGATGTCGGAATGAAACTGAGATGTCATATTGATTGAGTTAAGTCTGATTGCCTCTGTCTTTCATCATTGGTAGATTAGTTAAATGCTTATTCTGTTTGTCTTGTGAGATTGGGTGTAACTGGGGGCCAGATGCTCATAAACAGGGTTGTTTGTGTAGTGGGTCATGTCACCAGTAGATCTGCCCCGCGGGGTCGGCGTGTCAGAGAGGATGTTGGGTAGCAGCATGACCGGAAAGTGGCCTTTGACCCCAGGCCCTCTCTCTCGCTCTCTCTCTGTCTCTAGGGATGGTCCTTTAGCTAGGACTGGGCAGTATACCGTATTTTACTAAATACGGGTATTGATGTACGGACCGGTTTGGGTTTTTACTTTACCTTCTATAATGGTATATCAATGTTTGGTTTGTTAAATATGATACGCAACATTTTTTTGTTTACTCCGTTTTCTACTTGAGTTGTCTTTCTCTCTCCTCCTGCTGCATGCCACTTCCCACACTTTCCTGCCCCCTGTCACTCAAGGAGAGAGCAGTTGCTTGACCACAGTCACGAGCACTTTCTTGCCGTTCGCTCTGCAGTCTGCATGGTCAGATACAGTTGAAGTCGGAAGTTTACATACACTCAATTAGTATTTGGTAGCATTGCCTTTAAATTGTTTAACTTGGGTCAAACGTTCCGGGCAGCCTTCCACAAGCTTCCCACAATAGGTTGGGTGAATTTTGGCCCATTCCTCCTGACAGAGCTGGTTTAACTGAGTCAGGTTTGTAGGCCTCCTTGCTCGCACACACTTTTTCAGTTCTGCCCACACATTTTCTATAGGATTGAAGGTCAGGGCTTTGTGATGGTCACTCCAATACCTTGACTTTGTTGTCCTTAAGCCATTTTGCCACAATTTTGGAAGTATGCTTGGGATCATTGTCCATTTGGAAGACCCATTTGCGACCAAGCTTTAACTTCCTGACTGATGTCTTGAGATGTTGCTTCAATATATCCACATATTTTTCCTTCCTCATGATGCCATCTATTTTGTGAAGTGCACCAGTCCTTCCTGCTGCAAAGCAACCCACAGCATGATGCTGCCACCTCCGTGCTTCACGGTTGGGATGGTGTTCTTCGGCTTGCAAGCGTCCCCGTTTTTCCTCCAAACATAACGATGGTCATTATGGCCAAACAGTTCTATTTTTGTTTAATCAGACCAGAGGACATTTCTCCAAAAAGTACGATCTTTGTCCCCATGTGCAGTTGCAAACCGTAGTCTGCCTTTTTTATGGCCGTTTTGGAGCAGTGGCTTCTTCCTTGCTGAGCGGCCTTTCAGGTTATATCGATATAGGACTCGTTTTACTGTGGATATAGATAATTTTGTACCTGTTTCCTCCAGCATCTTCACAAGGTCCTTTGCTGTTGTTCTGGGATTTATTTGCACTTTTCGCACCAAAGTACATTAATCTCTAGGAGACAGAATGCGTCTCCTTCCTGAGCGGTATGACGTCTGTATATTGTATTGTATGCAATATTTGTTCTGAGGTCTTGGCTGATTTCTTTTGATTTTCCCATGATGTCAAGCAAAGAAGCACTGAGTTTGAAGGTAGGCCTTGAAATACATCCACAGGTACACCTCCAATTGACTCAAATTATGTCAATTAGCCTATCGGAAGCTTCTACAGCCATGACATCATTTTCTGGAATTTTCCAAGCTGTTTAAAGGCACAGTCAAATTAGTGTATGTAAACTTCTGACCCACTGGAATTGTGATACAGTGAATTATAAGTGAAATAATCTGTCTGTAAACAATTGTTGGAAAAATTACTTGTGTCATGTACAATGTAGATGTCCTAACAGACTTGCCAAAACTATAGTTTGTTAACAAGAAATCTGTGGAGTTGTTGAAAACAAGTTTTAATGACTCCAACCTAAGTACATGTAAACTTCCGACTTCAATTGTAGATGGAGCAAGATGTTGGTGACATGCTGCTTTCCACAAGCGTTCTATAATTACACTATTAGTTAGTTTATTTTACTGTCTGCAAACTACTGTCTGCTAGTTTGTCTTTTCTTAGCAAAGTTTTGACTAAAATAAATGTTGTTAGTCACAAATGCTAATTGCTAGTTAGCTGGCTAGCTAGCTTGCTAAATGTACTAAGAGTCATAGCAAACATAGCTATCTAATCAGCCTGGTACCAGTGCTGGTGTAGGCCTAGATAAGCATGTTGTTTGTGCAACGGTATCTTCTAAATCAGAGAGGAATAGGCGAAGCATGAATGTGTTAGCACAGAGTTTCTAAACCCAGAGGCACAACATTGCGAGACTTCCGGGAACGCTTGCGAAACAGACCAAGTAGACCAGGCCGGGGTTTGGGGTTTGAGAATTCAATGAGGGAAGTGAAACATTATTCCTTAGTTGTTAATTTTTACAAAATCTAAAGGCACAACCTAGATTCGAGCCAAGTCTTAAGTAGTTGAACATGTTATTACTCTAACCTCGTGAAGGTGACAAACTGACACGTTTTCATTTTTGTCAAAAACAACTTTATATCTAAGGAATGCCTTTGATTTGACGGCCTGTACATCCGCAGTTTGGCGCGAGACGACTGTTAGACCCGATTACCTAATTTTGTGCATGAGCTTAGCTAGCCAACATCACCATGACATCGCCTACGAGTGTGATCAGGGATTTCTATTGGAGAAGCAGTTTCTGCCTATCTTCATACTGTACTGTCTTTGATGTTAGCTAGCTACATGAGGTAAGAAAACATGCCATGTAGCTTCTAATTAAGGGTCACCTAGAAACACTGACCAACACTTTTGGTTCCTACCCAATAATTCCTTCCTGGCTTATTAATTTGTTGTCATGTCAAACATCAATGTGTTCAAGGTGCTGCCCAATAAATTCCATCTATAGAATTTGAATAATCATTATATTTCCATGATTCCAACAGTTCACTACTAGGCCTAGATTTTTTTGCCCATATCATGCATCCCTGCAGGTCACAATGTGGAAATGATAACAAAAGTGCAGGAAATACAGAAATGTATGAAAATACTGATAATTATTTTTGTTTGAAGTTGGATTGAACAGTATACAACAATCAGAATGGAGAAAGACCCATTTAAATCACTTATAGTGTATGTGTTGCCACCCTAGGGTCATGCACTACTCAAAGCATATTTATAACTTTTATTATTAAAAAACATAAAATACCTTCAAATACTGTCATACCGTCAAATGTGGAAAATATTGTGATATAAGATTTTGGCCATATCGCCCAGTTCTACCTTGAACCCCCCTCCTCTCCATCCTCCCTATTTCCCGCTGGGCAGGTTTCCTCATCAGGCTACCTCTGCTCTGTCCCTGCCCTTTGGCCAGCTCAGCCTTTTCCTCTCTACCTCTCCCCACTGGGCCTGGGGCAAGACCTGACCCAACCCTTTCCCCTTCTCCTCTCCTCCACTCCTGGTGGGGTCAGCTCTGGGCTGGGAGGGAGAGGCTCGACATGGGGTTATGAGGGAGAGGAAGGGGCTTTAGTGTTAGGGGTGAAGGGGTGTACAGGGTTAGGGGTGGAGGGGAGTGAGGGGTTAGATGGGGAGGGTCTGCTGTGCTGTGTAGTGTGGTGCTAGGTCTCCTCTGGCTATGCTGTGGTAAATAAGCAGAGGCAGGTGCCACAGAGTCTAGACAGGGCTGATTTTGGGTCCGGGGCCCCTGGTATGTGATACCCGACGCGAGGCCTGTGTGTGTGTGTGTGTGTGTGTGTGTGTGTGTGTGTGTGTGTGTTTGTATGATTGCACACTACTGACTCCTCACAGGGAGCGGGCCTTCAGTGCCACTGCTTAAAGCCTTTCCTGTTTAATGTTAAATCAGAACAGGAAAGCTGGGAGACTGGGCAGGGATAGAGGGGGAGCAGATGGCAAGGGCTGGGGGAGGACTCCTTTTTGGACCGTCGTCCTCTCTCTGTAGTTGACTTCCAGGGCGTTTACTGGTGGCCTAGCCCCCTCTTCAGCAACCCTCATCACGTCTCCCCCCCACCTCCCCCCTCCACACATGTACAAATACACACACACCAATCATCATCATCACTAAGGACCCAGAGCTTACTTTCTTTTGATGTAGTTGGAGGAGACTGTAGGATGCTCTATATGAGTCAGAGGCCTTTGGATTGTGAAGGAATGGACAAATTGCAAGCAGGCATGGAATGTCCCCTCTTTCCATCTCCCTCTCTCCACCTCTCTCTCCTCTGTCTGTTTGCAAGCCCTCTCAGTAGTCCCCTGCAGGGTATTGGCACAGACCTGATTAGACAGTAATGACTGTACCTATACCCTCTACTTTTCTGCTCACTTCAGAGAAGGCCTTCCTGTTTCCGTACTCTGCGGTTAACCCAGCGCGTCACCATGGCAACCAACTAAATGACTGTATGGACAATATGTAGACCAATGTCATCAACATGGTGATGATGTCATTCATACATTCAGCCAATGATGTCACCAAGCATGCATCCATCCTCAAATAGTAGAGAGAAAGGCTTGGGAACAGACACACCCATAACACACTGACTGACTTCTGGCCAGCTATAATGATTGATGATGCATTGGTATTGTTGAATTGATTTATGTATTATTTGATTGATTGACAGTTGATGAAGATGCTGTTTGATTGTGGTGAGAGCCCCATGGACCCTGAGCTCATCTCCTTCTGCATCAACCTGGCTGCCAACAAGAGGAATGCACAGGTCATCTGTGAAGGTACAACACATGGGTACGCACAGACACACACACACACACACACACACTTCTGATCCTGTTTTCCTGTCCCTAGGTAATGGTCTGAAGATGCTGATGAAGAGGGGTCTGAAGCTAAAGGATGTTCTGATCATGAAGATGATCAGGAACGTGTCTCAACACGACGGACCCACCAAGAACCTCTTCATAGTGCGTACTAAACTAACTCACAGTCTTTAACACTGATGAGCTTAATCATGCTCAGTATAGATATTGGCCAGTGATGGGCAACTGTCGCCCGCTGCCCCCCTTTTGTAGGCCCGCGGATCAATTTCAAAATGTGTCATTGCTTCAGCAGTTTTTCACTTGTTATGTCAGTCATTGACAGATGCTCAATTATCACTCAGATATCATTAAAAACTGCAAACATTTCTCTCCACCCTATGGCAAAATGTGTAGAATTGCAGGAAATTGACTCTAAAACATACATTTGTTCTCTCCGCTGTCAAGAGGGGTGCCGCTAAAATGGACTAGGGCCTGCTCTGACTGCACTTGTGTGGATATGGATGTGGATAAAAAATGTTGTGGCTCCCATCCCTGATATAGGCGGATAAGGCTAGACAGGCTAACATATGATCTGTGTTCTTATAATAGTATTACTGAATCCATAGTCTCTCGTGGACAGATGCACGTAGTATAAATGGTAATAGCGTCTGTCAACAGACTGTCCGTATGGTGCCAGGATAACAACCTCTCCTTCAACGTGATCAAGTCAAAGGAGATATGAAAGATGTGTGCACTCACTAACTGTAAGTCGCTCTGGGTAAGAGTGTCTGCTAAATGACTAAAATGTACATGTAAAATGAGATGATTGTGGACTACAGGAAAAACAAGAGGACCGAGCACGCCCCCATTCTCATCGACGGGGCTGTAGTGGAACAGGTTGAGCGCTTCAAGTTCCTTGGTGTCCACATCACCAACAAACTATCATGGTCCAAACACACCAAGACAGTCGTGAAGAGGGCATGACAAAGCCTATTCCCCCTCAGTAGACTGAAAAGATTTGACATGGGTCCTCAGATCCTCAAAAAGTTCTACAGCTGCACCATCGAGAGCATCCTGACTGGTTGCATCACTGCCTGGTATGGCAACTGCTTGGCCTCCGACCGCAAGGCACTACACTACCGGTCAAAAGTATTAGAACACCTACTCATTCAACGGTTTTTCATTATTTTTTACTATTTTCTACATTGTAACTACATCAAAACTATGAAATAACACATATGGAATCATGTAGTAACCAAACAAAATTTAAACAACTGAACATTTATTTTATATTTGAGATTCTTCAAATAGCCACCCTTTGCCTTGATGACAGCTTTGCACACTCTTGGCATTCTCTCAACCAGCTGCATGAAGTAGTCACCTGGAATACATTTCAATTTCAATTTGGTAAAAGACCACAGTGAGGCGAAGACTTTTGGAGGATGGCCTGGTGTCAAGAAGGGCAGCGAGGAAACCACTTCTCTCCAGGAAAAACATCAGGGACAGACTGATATTCTGCAAAAGGTACAGGGATTGGACTGCTGAGGACTGGGGTAAAGTCATTTTCTCTGATGAATCCCCTTTCCGATTGTTTGGGGCATCCGGAAAAAAGCTTGTACGGAGAAGACAAGGTGAGCGCTACCATCAGTCCTGTGTCATGCCAACAGTAAAGCATCCTGAGACCATTCATGTGTGGGGTTGCTTGTTAGCCAAGGGAGTGGGCTCACTCACAATTTTGCCTAAGAACACAGCCATGAATAAAGAATGGTACCAACACATCCTCCGAGAGCAACTTCTCCCAACCATCCAGGAACAGTTTGGTGACGAACAATGCCTTTTCCAGCATGATGGAGCACCTTGCCATAAGGCAAAAGTGATAACTAAGTGGCTTGGGGAACAAAACATCAACATTTTGGGTCCATGGCCAGGAAACTCCCCAGACCTTAATCCCATTGAGAATTTATGGTCAATCCTCAAGAGGTGGGTGGACAAACACAAACCCACAAATTCTGACAAACTCCAAGCATTGATTATGCAAGAATGGGCTGCCATCAGCCAGGATGTGGCCCAGAAGTTAATTGACAGCATGCCAGGGCGGATTGCAGAGGTCTTGAAAAAGCAGGGTCAACACTGCAAATATTGACTTTTTGCATAAACTTAATGTAATTGTCAATAATAGCCTTTGACACTTATGGAATGCTTGTAATTATACTTCAGTATACCATAGTAACATCTGACAAAAATATCTAAAAACACTGAAGCAGCAAACTTTGTGAAGACCAATACATGTGTCATTCTCAAAACTTTTGACCACGACTGTACATCACTGGGGCCAAGCTTCTTGCCATCCAGGACCTCTATACCAGGCGGTGTCAGAGGAAGGCCCTAAAAATTGTCAAAGACTCCAGCCACCCTAGTCATAGACTGTTCTCTCTACTACCGCACGGCAAGCGGTACCGGAGCGCCAAGTCTAGGTTCAAAAGGCTTCTTAACAGCTTCTACCCCCAAGCCATAAGACTCCTGAACAGCTAATCATGGCTACCTGGACCATTTGCATTGTCCCCCCCCACCCTACCCCCTCTTTTACACAGCTGCTACTCTGTTTATTATCTATGCATAGTCACTTTAACTCTACCCATATGTACATATTACCTCAATTACCTCGACTAACTGGTGCCCCCGCACATTGACTCTGTACCTGTACCCCCTTTAAATAGCCTCCCTACTATTATTTTATTTTACTGCTGCTCTTTAATAATTTTTTATTTTATATTTTTTACTTAACTTTTTTTCTTAAAACTGCATTGATGGTTAAGGGCTTGTAAGTAAGCATTTCACTGTAAGGTCTAAACCTGTTGTATTCGGCGCATGTGGCAAATAAAATTTGATTTGTGGGATGCAAGACTAACAATGAACTTTGTTCCGGTACGCAGATTTTTCGACACTGATCATTTGGATAAATCATGATTTCGCAGGTACTCGCATCTTTTGAATTTCGGAAGGGGAGGGGACATTTGGCCCTGCTTGAAACTTGCAGATAGGTTCCCTTGGGGTGAAGACTTTGCAAGTCGCATTAGTTTCCTCCCAGAATTTAATTGATTTTTGTTCTGGGTTTCGGAGCTGACTGAATCCATAGCTATGCTTGTTCTTATGCTAGTAGCTGAATCCATAGCTAGGCTCTATTGCAGCGGTTCCCAAACTAGGGGTCGCGACCTCATACAGGGTCGCCAGAATTTCAAAAATCCTGGTAAAAAAAATAATACCATAAAGAAATATATTATAATATCGTCTTTGTCTCTCAAAATCATTGTAATGTACAGTTGAAGTCAGAAGTTTACATACACCTTAGTCAAATACATTTACACTCAGATTTTCACAATTCCTGACATTTAATCCTAGTAAAAATTCCCTGTCTTAGGTCAGTTAGGATCACCACTTTATTTTAAGAATGTGAAATGTCAGAATAATAGTAGAGAGAATGATTTATTTCAGCTTTTATTTATTTCATCACATTCCCAGTGGGTCAGAAGTTTACATACACTCAATTAGTATTTGGTAGCATTGCCTTTAAATTGTTTAACTTGGGTCAAACGTTTCGAGCAGCCTTCCACAAGCTTCCCACAATAACTTGGGTGAATTTTGGCCCATTCCTCCTCCGCTGGTGTAACTGAGTCAGGTTTGTAGGCCTCCTTGCTCGCATATGCTTTTTCAGTTCTGCCCACACATTTTCTATAGGATTGAGGTCAGGGCTTTGTGATGGCCACTACAATACCTTGACGTTGTTGCCCTTAAGCCATTTTGCCACAACTTTGGAAGTATGCTTGGGGTCATTGTCCATTTGGAAGACCCATTAGCGACCAAGCTTTTAACTTCTTGACTGGTCTTGAGATGTTGCTTCAATATATCCACATAATTTTCCTTCCTCATGATGCCATCTATTTTGTGAAGTGCACCAGTCCCTCGTGCAGCAAAGCACCCCCACAGCATGATGCTGCCACCTCCGTGCTTCACGGTTGGGATGGTGTTCTTCGACTTGCAAGTTACCCCCTTTTTCCTCCAAACATAACGATGGTCATTATGGCCAAACAGTTATATTTTTGTTTCATCAGACCAGAGGACATTTCTCCCAAAAGTACAATCTTTGTCCCCATGTGCAGTTGCAAACCTTAGTCTGGCTTTTCTATGGCGGTTTTGGAGTAGTGGCTTCTTCCTTGCTGAGCGGCCTTTCAGGTTATGTCGATATAGGACTTGTTTTACTGTGGATATAGATACTTTTGTACCTGTTTCCTCCAGCATCTTCACAAGGTCCTTTGCTGTTGTTCTGGGATTGATTTGCACTTTTCGCACCAAAGTACGTTAATCTCTAGGAGACAGAACGCGTCTCCTTCCTGAGCGGTATGACGGCTGCGTGGTCCCATGGTGTTTATACTTGCGTACTATTGTTTGTTCAGATGAACGTGGTACCTTCAGGCATTTGGAAATAGCTCCCAAGGATGAACCAGACTTGTGGAGGTCTACAACTTTTTTTTCTGAGGTCTTGGCTGATTTCTTTTGATTTTCCCCATGATGTCAAGCAAAGAGGCACTGAGTTTGAAGGTAGGCCTTGAAATACATTCACAGGTACACCTCCAATTGACTCAAATGATGTCAATTAGCCTATCAGAAGCTTCTAAAGCCATGACATAATTTTCTGGAATTGTCCAAGCTGTTTAAAGGCACAGTCAACTTAGTGTATGTAAACTTCTGACCCACTGGAATTGTGATACAGTGAATTACAAGTGAAATAATCTGTCTGTAAACAATTGTTGGAAAAATTACTTGTGTCATGCACAAAGTAGATGTCCTAACCGACTTGCCAAAACTATAGTTTGTTAACAAGAAATTTGTGGAGTGGTTGAAAAACGAGTTTGAATGACTCCAACCTAAGTGTATGTAAACTTCCGACTTCAACTGTAGTTAACCTTAAAAATCTAAATGAAAATTATTCAAATCTAAAAGTTAGGACTTCCGGCGACGATGTGGTTAGTAGAAGCAGCTAACTAAAGAGGCTGTGTAGCTCCAACTATATTTTAACTAATTATTCAACGCCTAGTTACACATTTTGTTAACTAATTGTCGGTTACATTGAAAAAGGACTTAGAAACGCACAAAAGCAGACACTTTTGACGAAAACCACGAAAATGTCGTCTCTACCTGTTCAAGTGGAAAAATAGTTTAAGGACAAAGAAGGAAGTATCTTGATTTTACTTGTAAAGATTTCAGGACAAAACATAATATTGGGAAATAGTTATGCTCTAAATGAGGAGGACCCAGACTTCTTCTTTCAACTTAACAAAATAATACTGGATTACAATCAGGCCCCTGATGCTTTTTTAGATAAATCCAAAACTGTTCTAACCAGGACCTCAAGAAGCAATTAAAACACTGTGTAAAGATGCTGGTCTTTATGATATATGGAGATTGATCAATCCAACCTCTCGTGATTACACATTCTTTTCAAATAGGCACACTGTTTATTCACGCATCGACTACTTTCTGATCTCACACCCTCATAGATAAATGTGGTGCTTGCAGTGTGGGCACGATAGCTATGACAGATCATGCACCCATTGATCTGACTGTTGGAATAGGAGAAGAAAGAGGAAAATTAAAAGGTTGGCGAATGAACACCAGCCTTTTACAGGACAAGGCGTTTTGTGAATTCCATAAAACACACATTATGATATTATTTGAAACAAACAACAATAGTGCAAAACGGGTACATGTCTGGGAAGCTTTTAAAGCATACATACGTGGAGTAATGATTAAACGATCAGCTACTATTAAGAAACTAGATAAACAGAAAATTGAGAAACTTGAAACAGAGCTCAAAACGCTGGAGAGGGAATATTGGTCCAATCCTATCAACATTTCTCTGGTAAATCTGACGAAAACCAAATACGAGCTGAATACTTTATTCAGTAAAAAAGCTGAATATTCACTGTACAGGCTGAAGCAGAGATGGTACGAATCAGGTGAAATGACAGGAAAACTGTTAGCCAGTCAATTGAAATCTAGAGAAACAGATAAGTATGTGGAATCAGAAATAAGACAGGCAAGCTGATTACCAATCATAAAGAAATAAACAATATATTTTGAGACTTCTATCAGGAACTTTATACTTCAGACGGTCCTTTAGATATGCAGAAAGCAGAGGCATTCTTTCAGAATTTGAACCTTCCTAAACTAACAGAGGAAGACATGAATTGGCTCGACCGCCCTGTTACTTTGGAGGAATTGACCGAAACTATAAGACAAGCACCCAGTGGTAAAACTCCAGGGTTGGATGGGATACCCAGTGATTTCTATAAAAGGTTTGCAGAGCAGCTTAGCCCAGAAATATTTAAACATTTAATACATTGATTGACACAGTTGAGCTCCCACCTTCTATGAGTGATGCAGTAATCACCCTAATCCTCAAAAAGGGAAAGGATCCCCATGAGTGTGGGAGCTACCGTCCAATTTCTTTTATAAATTGTGATGGAAAGTAGTTTACAAAACTTCTGGCTATGAGGGTAAATCAAATCATTAAGAAAAATCCAGACCAGGTGGGATTTGTAAAAGGCAGAACTTCATCTGATAATCTTAGACACCTATTGCATGTCATCTGGAAGGCAAAATATTTGGATACTTCAGTGGCAGCCTTATCCCTAAATGCAGAAAAAGTGTTTGATAGGGTGGGCTGGGACAACCTGCATTATACAATAAATACATTTGGATTTGGACAGGGCTGTCAGAATATTATTAAACTTATGTACAACGACCCCAAATCCATGGTAGTCACTAACGGACTACGATCATCTCCATTTTCAGTAGGACGAGGCACAAGACAAGGTGACTGTCCCTCGCCCCTCCAATTTATTCTAGCATTAGAACCATTAGCCGAAGCCATTAGGCTGCATCAGTCAATCAAAGTGGTTAATATGGCAGGTAGGGAGAATAAACTACTGCTTTATGCAGACTACATATTACTATTAATGTCAGACCCCCAACTCTCCACACTGCTTTTACTGGACCTTATGCATTCTCAGAGATATCGGGCTATAAAGTAAACTGGACCAAATCTGAGTTAATGCCCCTATCAAAACATTGTCTGAGAAACGACTTCCTCAACTGGAGGTTTCAATGGGTCCCTAAAAACTTGAGGTACCTGGGGATCGCTTTAAATCCTGGTCTAGAGAACATGATTTCTGAAAACCTTGACCCACTATTGAACAAAATCCAACTCCAGTTTAAGAACTGGGATAAGCTACAAATCTCGCTATGGGGTAGGATACAGGTTATAAAGATGGTCATAGCTCCTAAACTGAATTACGTAATCAGCATGTTACCATTATCCATACCTGTCTATACTTTTAAATCCATCGACAAAATTATTACTGATTTTATTTGGGCCGGTAAAAGGGCCAGGATGAAACTAGTGAGATTACAGGCAAAGATTGAGAAGGGAGGATTAAAGCTCCCTAACATGCAATTATATCAAGAAGCCTTTGTGGCTGCCCAAATAGGTGTTAAGATAGAAATCCTATGCAAATTACCACATACCGCAGGGCTTATATATAGCCACCTTTATAGGTGCATTTAATGGAACTTGTGAGGGCCTAAAGGCCTTATGGGAAAAAGACTTGGAGGTAACATTTGGAGAGGAGGAATGGAATATAATAGTACAACAGATTATCCTCCCTATGAGAGATGCCCGGTCCAAGCTGATTCAATTTAAAGTGTTCAGTAGGATTTATTGGACTCCCCTGAGGTTGAACAGAATGGGTTTGATAGAATTCAACCTATGCTGGAGATGTCAGTCAAGTACAGGTGACATGATCCATATGTTCTGTAACTGTCCAAGCTTGCATACCTTTTGGCAGAAGTTAATGGAAAAGATTGGGGATATTCTGTATTCGGAATATTTGAAGAATTGTGGTACCCAGAATATCCCCAATCTTTTCCATTAACTTGCGGTATGTGGTAATTTGCATAGGATTTTATCTTAACACCTATATCGGAATGTACTGGGAATTTGTTGTTGTTTTGTCCTACCTTAAACATACAACCTCTAAGCTGGAGATACCTCCAAAAGTCTTGTTTCTGTAAATTATACTTGGACATTAGTTCTTCAAAAGAGGTCAAAGTGTTTTCTTGATACAGACAACCAATGTTCTTTATCCCCTTTCTATACCAATGTTTCCAGAAAACCATGTGTCCCCCGATTTTCAATTTAGGGTTGTTCCATAACAAAGCAGAGCTCGTCAAGAAAGGTGAAGATCTCTCTCTCATGAATCTGGCTCCATATATTTTTAGTATGGGACATTACTGGATTCTGCAGTCCCAATTTTTGTTGACTCAAATAATCTGATGCGCCAAATGGGGCATTAAGTTCCTCTTCCATGTCCACCCAGAAGAACAATACTTGCAAATCCTGCTTTGTTATTACTGAATATCACTAAGGATATTGATAGACTGAGAAGCCCATGTTTAAACTGGCTAAAAGTTGCTCCAACCACAGCCAAAATAGTAATATTGACACACTGGAGGGAGAAGGACCCTCCCTCATATAAGGAATGGTACAGTGAGGGAAAAAGTATTTGATCCCTTGCTGATTTTGTACGTTTGCCCACTGACAAAGACATGATCAGTCTATAATTGTAATGGTAGGTTTATTTGAACAGTGAGAGACAGAATAACAACAACAAAAATCCAGAAAGAACGCATGTCAAAAATGTTATGAATTGATTTGCATTTTAATGAGGGAAATAAGTATTTGACCCCTCTGCAAAACATTATTTAGTACTTGGTGGCAAAACCCTTGTTGGCAATCACAGAGGTCAGACGTTTCTTGTAGTTGGCCACCAGGTTTGCACACATCTCAGGAGGGATTTTGTCCCACTCCTCTTTGCAGATCTTCTCCAAGTCATTAAGGTTTCGAGGCTGACGTTTGGCAACTCGAACCTTCAGCTCCCTCCACAGATTTTCTATGGGATTAAGGTCTGGAGACTGGCTAGGCCACTCCAGGACCTTAATGTGCTTCTTCTTGAGCCACTCCTTTGTTGCCTTGGCCGTGTGTTTTGGGTCATTGTCATGCTGGAATACCCATCCACGACCCATTTTCAATGCCCTGGCTGAGGGAAGGAGGTTCTCACCCAAGATTTGACGGTACATGGCCCCGTCCATCGTCCCTTTGATGCGGTGAAGTTGTCCTGTCCCCTTAGCAGAAAAACACCCCCAAAGCATAATGTTTCCACCTCCATGTTTGACAGTGGGGATGGTGTTCTTGGGGTCATAGGCAGCATTCCTCCTCCTCCAAACACGGCGAGTTGAGTTGATGCCAAAGAGCTCGATTTTGGTCTCATCTGACCACAACACTTTCACCCAGTTCTCCTCTGAATCATTCAGATGGTCATTGGCAAACTTCAGGCGGGCATGTATATGTGCTTTCTTGAGCAGGGGGACCTTGCGGGCGCTGCAGGATTTCAGTCCTTCACGGCGTAGTGTGTTACCAATTGTTTTCTTGGTGACTATGGTCCCAGCTGCCTTGAGATCATTGACAAGATCCTCCCGTGTAGTTCTGGGCTGATTCCTCACCGTTCTCATGATCATTGCAACTCCACGAGGTGAGATCTTGCATGGAGCCCCAGGCTGAGGGAGATTGACAGTTATTTTGTGTTTCTTCCATTTGCAAATAATCGCACCAACTGTTGTCACCTTCTCACCAAGCTGCTTGGCGATGGTCTTGTAGCCCATTCCAGCCTTGTGTAGGTCTACAATCTTGTCCCTGACATCCTTGGAGAGCTCTTTGGTCTTGGCCATGATGGAGAGTTTGGAATCTGATTGTCTATCAAATTAATGTTTAATGCCAATTGTAATTCAATTGCATTGTTGTTATATTGTGAAAGGAAACAATAAAAACTATAATTACAAATCTAAAAGTTATATTTCAACCAGAGAGCACCCTTAGATCGTGGTAAATGGCCGCACTTGACCGTTGCACTTGAATCATTCCCACGGTGAATGGCTAAGCCCGCTACGCTATGAAACCACACACTATTGCAGAGACTTTGATATTACCGGCCGCAGTTGATATGGTGAAAACAATGTGTGGGGAGGCAGAGGCACATAAACCCACATCAATACCTTTGTCAGATAACACTGTGAAACTAAGAATTTATGCTATATCTAGCAATCAAGAGGAAACTGACTGAACGACTAAAAAACTTGTTAGCTGTGAGGGCCGAGATGCATTGACTTTTGTTCGCTACATGTCGGGGGATGCTATATGAGCATGAAACGGCACAGGGGATGTTCAGTTTGCTCCGTGGCTATATTGATGAAAAACTGATTCTATGGGATTGAATGGTGGGCTTTTGCACAGACGGGACAACGGGCAGGCCTCTGCACTCTAGTTATGAATGTGTTTCACTGGCGGCTGAGGCTGCTCCTTTGGCGTATGGACGCATTGTATGATACACCCACTCAGCAATTGCCAAGAAACTGAAGATCTCGTACAACGCTGTGTACTACTCCCTTCACAGAACAGCGCAAACTGGCTCTAACCAGAATAGAAAGAGGAGTGGGAGGCTCCGGTGCACAACTGAGTAAGAGGACATATACATTAGAGTGTCTAGTTTGAGAAACAGACGCCTCACAGGTCCTCAACTGGCAGCTTCATTAAATAGTACCCGCAAAACACCAGTCTCAATGTCAACAGCGAAGAGGCGACTCCAGGATGCTGACCTTCTAGGCATTTACATTTTACATTTTAGTCATTTAGCAGACACTCTTATCCAGAGCGACTTACAGGAGCAATTAGGGTTAAGTGCCTTGCTTAAGGGCACATCGACAGATTTTTCACCTAGTCGGCTCGGGGATTAGAACCAGCGACCTTTCGGTTACTGGCACAACGCTCTTACCCACTAAGCTACCTGCCTCCCTAGGCAGAGTTGCAAAGAAAAAGCCTTATCTCAGACTGGCCAATAAAAAGAAAAGATTAAGATGGGCAGAAGAACACAGACATTGGACTTTTTCTTTGCAACTCTGCCTAGAAGGTCATCATCCCGGAGTCGCCTCTTCACTGTTGACGTTGAGACTGGTGTTTTGCAATTTCTCACATGGAATAGCCTTCATTTTTCAGAACAAGAATAGACTGACGAGTTTCAGAAGAAAGTAATTTTTTTCTGGCCAATTTGAGTCTGTAATCGAACCCACAATTGCTGATGCTCCAGATACTCAACTAGTCTCAAGAAGGCCAGTTTTATTGCTTCTTTAATCAGCACAACAGTTTTCAGCTGTGCTAACATAATTGCAAAAGGGTTTTCTAATGATCAATTAGCCTTTTAAAATGATAAACTTGGATTAGCAAACACAACGTGCCATTAGAACACAGGACTGATGGTTGCTGATAATGGGCCTCTGTACGCCTATGTAGATATTCCATAAAAAATCAGCCGTTTCCAGCTACAATAGCCATTTACAACATTAATAATGTCTACACTGTATTTCTGGTCAATTTGATGTTATTTTACTGGACAAGAAAATTGCTTTTCTTTCAAAAACAAGGACATTTCTAAGTGACCCCAAACTTTTGAACGGTAGTGTATGTTGATGCTAATGTTATGCTAATGATAATGCTAACAATAGCATAATATATTCAATATGCTGTGGGCTGTTGTCTTTTAACAGTTGCGCTCAATTCATTCTGATTAACCTAGCAATTACGACACACCCCTCACTATTGTCATTGGTTGCACTAATTGCACCGTTTGTCTACATAACCAGGTTCAAGCATTCATGACATTACCCTGAAGAAGGCACAGTGATGCTGAAACGTTGGTGGTTTCTTACCCAATAAATTACTGGGAGTTTATACATAGAGTGTGACTCTCTCTATTTGTTTTTATAGTTTACATTTTCTCCTTGCCTATTTAACAGACATATTTGGGAAGCTGATCGAGCTGTCATGTGACCAAATGCTGCAGACAACGCATTCATGGGTCAATATGGATGAGTTTTGGTTCCTAACTCAAAGGGAATAGGGTGCTGTCTCCTTCCAAGCATTAAGACTCATATTACGTTGATTCAGTGCTTTCGTCTGCATTGAAAATACATATTTGTCCAGTTTGAATGTGACCGGAGAGATGAGGTGCACACTGTTGACCACGCCCCCTGACTTTGAGAAGCTCTGACGCGACATGCATCAAGCACACCCATCTCATTAGTGGTGGTGAGATAAGATACATTATGTCAGACAAATTTGCAATTGACTGCAATAGCCCCAATTAAAGAAGTTAACGTTGGCTGTTCATTTCTTTTCACATGGTTGGGGTCGTGAGAATTTTCATATCAAAATGGGGTCGTGGGCCAAAAAGGTTTGGGAGCCCCTGCTCTATTGGAACAGAACATTGTGGTGTTGGACCCTGACCTCTGTCTCTATGGTAACTGACCTCCCTTTCGTCCCCCCTCAGGACTATGTAGGTGACCTGGCTGCTCAGATGGGAGGGGAGGAGAGGGAAGAGTATGTGATTGAGTGTCTGGGGACCCTGGCTAACCTCACCATTCCTGACCTGGACTGGGAAATGGTGCTGAAGGAGTACAACCTGGTGCCCTACCTCAAATACCTCCTCAAACCAGGTAGGCCTCAAAGACCTCCTCAAACCAGGTAGGCCTCAAAGACCTCCTCAAACCAGGTAGGCCTCAAAGACTGCCTCAAACCAGGTAGGCCTCAAAGACCGCCTCAAACCAGGTAATGAGGGAGGGAGGGAGAGAGAAAAGGGGGGAGGGAGGACTGGTGTTGCAACTTACAGGTGCATTCAGCCTGAAGTATTTGAGAGAAGCAAATACTGTACGGCCATACCACAAGTTTTACATTTTTAACAAATTCTATCCCATGGCTTTCTCCAACCCCAACCTCTAACCCATAACCTTCATCACTCTATCAGTGTCACTGACTGATCCTACATCATTGAATGATGTCAGCAGTCACACAAGTACAGTGATCACACACACACACACAGTGACTTCTCCCTTCTCAGCTTTGATCTCTGACCCCTGACTTCTGCCCCCACCAGGCTCGGCAGAGGATGACCTGATCCTAGAGGTGGTGATCATGATGGGGACAGTGTCCATGGACGACTCCTGTGCTGCCATGATGGCCAAGTCTGGCATCATCCCTGCCCTCATCGAGCTGCTCAACGGTAGGTAGTAGGTAGGGCCCAGGCCTGCACATGCTGGAGGGAGGGTTATCCTACTAAAATGCCTGCAAGTTATGATCAAACTGACATGCTATGTGAGCTACAATATGAGGAGTAATGATGATACAAGTACTTATCTGAAATCTATGATACAATATACAGTACATCGACTTGTATTAGCTTGCTTGTTGAGGGATTGTATGTACAGTATTTCTGTGTATGAGCCCAACAGGAGGACAATGAGTTTGTGTGTCAGATCGTCTGTTTCATCTCTCTCTCCCTATAGCCAAACAGGAGGACGATGAGTTTGTGTGTCAGATTGTCTATGTGTTCTACCAGATGGTGTTCCACCAGGCCACCAGGGATGTCATCATCAAGGACACACGTATCCTCCCTCTTACAACAAACCTCAATATTTCTCAGGATACCTCAATATATCCCAGTTTACTTCAATATATCCCAGTTTACCTCAATATAGCCTAGTTTACTGCAAGATACCTCGGTATACCTCAATATACCACAATATACCTACATTAACCATGATATAGACCTCAGCCCAAATAACCCTAAAATATCTTCCTAAATGGCTTTCAATGTAGTTCTTATTTATTTAACCTGTCTTTAAATTGTGTTACCATGGTAACCAACAGTTTCACCCTATATCCCATCTGCTTCTTTCAATGTGTGTTTCCACGGCAACCTCAGTTACCCTGTCCATGACCTCAGTGCTCCACACTGCACAGTCGTGATCTGAGACGGCAGGCATACAATTACAAATAGCTTGCAGTAATACTGTATTTGATAGATGTTTTCATTCTATGGAGAATATTAGAGGGATCTCTGCCAAATGGTCTGCCTTGGGAGAGTTATTCTGATTTACAATATCTCTCTCTCATCACAGGAAATGTAAGAGTTGTTCGTTTGGCCGCGGGGCAACTGTCTCGTGTCTGCTTTCTATAAATTAAAGAGCAAAAGCAGAGTCTTTCTCTCATTACTTTCTCCCTCCAATACCATAACGTAACTGTGATCTTGATTAAAGAGATACTGTTGAATGATGTGTTTGAGTAGAAGGAACAGCAAAATGATCCAAAATAAGTGTAGAATGCATCCCTCCCTTTCTCTGTTGTCCTCTCCTTAACTCCCTCTCTCCAGAGGCTCCCGCCTACCTCATTGACCTGATGCACGACAAGAACGCCGAGATACGCAAAGTCTGTGACAACACAGCTGGACATCATCGCTGTAAGTATCTATCTATCTATCTATCTATCTATCTATCTATCTATCTATCTGTTTAGTGAAATCGTATGCAGTAAGCAATCCCCTCCATTCGTTCATTTTTGTAGAACGCTTCCTCTATTCTGATTTATCAGCTGTTGTCAAACACGTCTGAAAAGACAATTCTCTTCCTCAATAGTGTGCAGCGAATTCTACTAGAAATGAGTATGGCATCCTGACATTTAAAGCATGCTCAATTTTCAAAATTTCACATAGTATAAAACGTTCTATTTTTGCATACCCAAAAAGCCTACTATTTAGAACGTAAGTATGGGCATTCTGACATTTTCTTCCCATTCATTTCTAACTGAAACTGGCCAAAATTCTGCTTTTCCTGATTTTCTATGTTTTCCTGATCCCATCAGTCATTAAAACTAAATACAAAAGTAATTAAAACTCGTTTTTTAACCACTCCACAAATTTCTTGTTAACAAACTATAGTTTTGGCAAGTCGGTTAGGACATCTACTTTGTGCATGACACAAGTAATTTTTCCAACAATTGTTTACAGACAGATTATTTCACTTATAATTCACTGTATCACAATTCCAGTGGGTCAGAAGTTTACATACACTAAGTTGACTGTGCCTTTAAACAGCTTGGAAAATTCCAAAATGATGTCATGGCTTTAGAAGCTTCTGATAGGCTAATTGACATAATTTGAGTCAATTGGATGTGTACCTGTGGATGTATTTCAAGGCCTACCTTCAAATTATTTGCTTAACATCATGGAAAAATCAAAAGAAATCAGCCAAAAATATTGTAGACCTCCACAAGTCTGGTTAATCCTTGGGAGCAATTTCCAAACGCCTGAAGGTACCACGTTCATCTGTACAAACAATAGTATGCAAGTATAAACCCCATGGGACCACGCAGCTGTCAAAAAAAAAAAAAATATATATATATATATACCGCTCAGGAAGGAGACGCGTTCTGTCTCCTAGAGATGAACGTACTTTGGTGTGAAAAGTGAAAATCATCCCAAAACAACTGCAAAGGACCTTGTGAAGATGCTGGAGGAAACAGGTACAAAAGTATCTATATCCACAGTAAAACAAGTCCTATATCGACATAACCTGAAAGGCCGCTCAGCAAGGAAGAAGCCACTGGTCCAAAAACGCCATAAAAAAGCCAGACTACGGTTTGCAACTGCACATGGGGACAAAGATCGTACTTTTTGGAGAAATGTCCTCTGGTCTGATGAAAAAAATATATAACTTTTTGGCCATAATGACCATCGTTATTTTTGGAGGAAAAAGGGGGTAGCTTTCATTCCGAAGAACACCATCCCAACCATGAAGCACGGGGGTGGCAGCATCATGCTGTGGGGGTGCTTTGCTGCAGGAGGGACTGGTGCACTTCACAAAATAGATGGCATCATGAGGAAGGAAAATTATGTGGATATATTGAAGCAACATCTCTAGACATCAGTCAGGAAGTTAAAGCTTGGTCGCAAATGGGTCTTCCAAATGGACAATGACCCCAAGCATACTTCCAAAGTTGTGGCAAAATGGCTTAAGGACAACAAAGTCAAGGTATTGGAGTGGCCATTACAAAGCCCTGACCTCAATCCTATAGAAAATGTTTGGGCAGAACTGAAAAAGCGTTTGCGAGCAAGGAGGCCTACAAACCTGACTCAGTTACACCGGCTCTGTTAGGAGGAATGGGCCAAAATTCACCCAACTTATTGTGGGAAGCTTGTGGAAGGCTACCCGAAACGTTTGACCCAAGTTAAACAATTTAAAGGCAATGCTACCAAATACTAATTGAGTGTATGTAAACTTCTGACCCACTGGGAATGTGATGAAAGAAAAAAAAAGCTGAAATAAATCACTCTACTATTATTCTGACATTTCACATTCTTAAAATAAAGTGGTGATCCTAACTGACCTAAAACAGGGAATTTTTACTAGGATTAAATGTCAGGAATTGTGAAAAACTGAATTTAAATGTATTTGGTTAAGGTGTATGTAAACTTCCGACTTCAACTGTATGTCTCTAATGGTAAAATTTTGGTTGACTGGGTCTGGTAAATCAAATTCCTGTGTGGTTAAGTCCCAGTCATGGTGTGATCTGTCACAGGCCTGAGATCAGTGTAATTAGCTATAGATTACAGCCGGGCTGTGGAGCGGGTAGTGGGGGAGAGGAAGTGTTTCATTGAAATTATCAGTGAGAACTATTAAGATGTGAACCACATGAAAGACCAGGACAGGCTCTGGAGAGTGTCTTGGCAGGATGCAGTAGGTGAGAGAGAAAGCAGACCCTACACACACACACACACACACACACACACACACACACACACACACACACACACACACACACACACACACACACACACACACACACACACACACACACACACACACACACACACACACACACACACACACACACACACACACACAAACAATCATTAGTCTTCAGAGCTGCAGGCTACCTTAGAAGCACACGCCATGATTGTCCGTTCTTGAATGTTTCCTATTTGATCAATGTGTCCACACACACACACCCCACAGAGAGAGAGAAACCTACGTATAGATGGTTTTTCTAGGTCAGACAGAAGGGTAATTCATGAGAATAATTCTTAGATTCAGGTTTTCTCTGAGGAGGAACATTGGAAATGCCATGAGTACTGTTTAATATCGGCTGGCTCCTTCCCTCTGAGACGTCATTAGCTCAGCTCTCTCGTTATGATGGATTAAGCTTCATATCAAACCCTTACTACAGACTAATGGTCCAGGGGAAGTCAGCTGTGTAGTCATTAAACCACTTTAGCCATGTGATAAATCTGCAGCTTGACAAAAAGTTTCACTGCCACTTTGGGGACGGAGAGCGGCCCTGAGATGCGACAATGGGCCCGTTTGAGGCCTGGGCCTTGGGTGGCTGTCAGTGCCCAGGGGGCTCTGCTTTGCGTCTGGATGATTAATTTGCTGGGCCTGGCCGCGTGGAGCACAGCGGCTCAAAGAGAGCCTTTCTCCCAAATGGCCCACGCAGAGAAAGGAAAACAGAATCTGTGTTCCTCCTCAGCCTTCCTCGGCCAAGCTCCACACACAAACACACACACACAGCCCCATCGCAGTCTCATCCTTCTCACCACGCCAGGTTTTTATTAGTAACCGCATCAGTAGGGTGCAGGCTCACAGAGCAGTATATTGTGAGATGCTCTAGTAGTCTGTGGAGGATCTGGCCCTCCCTGCTGGGATGGACCAATATGGCGGTCAGGGGTCCGGCTGGTCCCCCAGCCCTACCTGACTCCCTGCCAGCCACTCTTCTACAGCTAATTACACGTTTAGTTCAGTTTGGTGGCCTCTCTCACCGTTTACACAGAGTGTATCTGTTTGCTACTAAGGCTGGGATTCAATCAATTGAAGATGGTGGATTTCCATATAGCGCTTTCAGCGTGTGTGCGTGCCTGCCTGTGTGCTTATATGCATGTGTATGACTCAGTCTGTTTGTTTATCTGTGTGTGTGAACCTCCAGTAACCCTTACTCCTCTCTCTTGCGCTCTCTCTCTTGCTCTCTCTCTTGCTCTCTCTCTCTTGCTCTCTCTCTCTCTTGCGCTCTCTCTTGCTATCTCTCTTGCTATCTCTCTTGCTCTCTCTCTCTCTCTCTTCCTGCTGTAGGAGTATGATGAAGAGTGGGGGAGGAAGATCCAGAGTGAGAGGTTCCGCTGGCACAACTCCCAGTGGTTAGAGATGGTGGAGAACAGAGCCATGGGAGACGATGGAGAACCATTCATGTACGGAGATGACGGGGAACCTTTCATGCACAACGGAGACATTCTGGAGAGACCCGACCTCTTCTACAGTGCAGGTACGGAGTGACGTAGGGAGGGAGGTAGAGAAGGAGGGAGGGAGGGAGGGAGGCAGAGACATTCTGCAGAGACCCAACCTCTTCTATAGTGAAGGGAGGGAGGGAGGGAGGGAGGGAGGGAGGGAGGGAGGGAGGGGGAGGGAGGGAGGGAGGGAGGGGAGTGGGTTGAGCCATGTTTTACATTCAGCATAACTCCGTCAAGGGAAATATAGTCTTCTTTCTAACAAAGATATCTACATATATTTCAGGATGTTGTGTGTCCCTGGAAATAATCAGAAGTCATGTAAACATTACAGTTTTGAAAACATAGCTTGTGGTCTCTTGGCACAATTTAAAAGGGAAAGTTAAGCCACCTACACATTTCTGTACTTTATTTCCCAAACAAAATTCAACACATTCACAATCACTTTTTGTCTTTTAATCATTTTAAGCATCTTTTAACATAGGCTTAACACCTAACAAACACTTTGTACTTTTTTAAACACTTAACATACATTGGCCAGGTCCTGTTGTTACCTCATTTCCCAGTGATAATGCCTTGCATTATGCCTGGGAAGGAAACACTTCAATTTGCTCAACTTGCCATTGGCTCAACCATTGGATCAACTTACGAAAGGCAAACATTTTGAATATATTAACCCACACAGGTTTAGGACCTCATTGAAGCTTACCCCAACTGTTGTATAGAAAAAATGCAAATGATCAACTTGGGTTTAGATACAAGCATCATGACACCTCTAACACAATAAATTAATTTGGCTTGGTGAAAATACGTTTTTTGGACCTAACTTGCTTACCACTTTTTCCATGTGGTTACTTCCTTCACAGACTCCATGAAATGATGACCTCTTCCTAAATATTTGGCCAAATTATTAATTTTCTGTATGGTTTCCTGGAAACAAGGGTGGCTCAACTTACCCCACTCTCCCCTACAGAGGGAGGGAGGTAGAGAAGGAGGAAGGGAGGCAGTGAGCTGACCTCTTCTACAGCGCAGGTACAGAGAGAAAGAGGAGGGAGGGAGGGAGGGAGGGAGAGGGGTACAGAGTGAGAGTGCTACTGTAGAGACTCAACCTCTTCGACAGCGCAGGTACAGAGAGCATGGATGAAGTGAGATGAGGTGTAGAGACATTCAACAGTAAATTTGTCTCTAACTTAGAGTTGTATGTCTCTCTCCCCAGATGGGATCATCCCAGCAGACGGTACCATCAGCCCAGAGTTCTTCATAGACTACCAGAATGGAGACATGGGCCAGGCTAGAGGCTTCCCAGGCAGGTGAGCTCAGAGTAGGGCAGGGGTTGGACTGCACATCTATCTCCATCCCCTAGAGGCTCCTCTCGGGGTGGGCTGCACCTCTGCCCCCTCCACCCCACCATCCCCTGGAGAACCACAGCAGGGCTGGGCTGGTTGTCTTTCTCCTGCATTAACATTTTAGTCATTTAGCAGACACTCTTATCCAGAGAAACTTACAGTAGTGAGTGCGTACATTTTCATACTTTTTCGTACTGGTCCCCCGTTGGGAATCGAACCCACAACCCATGCTCTACCAACTGAGCCACACGGGACTGACAGGCTGTCCTGAAGCAGGACAATGACCCCGTAGCAAACCATCCCAGTCTCAGCCTGTCTCTGCTGCTCAGTGAACAGTGTTATTCTCCTCCAGTATTCGCTGATCTTTGTTATTGAACCAGGGGCAGGGGATATGTCAACAGTCCTCCAATATCCCAGAAGGCCATCAACAGCAATACTGGAGCTTTGAGAACAAACACACTCTCTGCTCTACTCCGTTGAGGCTCAGAATACAGCCTGCGATGAAATAATGATTTATATTTATCATAAAACAAATACTATCCTTTGATTTTTGCTGTCTTAAACAGGCCTAATATGTAAAGTTGAAGTAATTTGATATGCTGTTAAAATGATGAATAGGCAAGGAAATGTGGAGTTTATTTAAAGTAATTTGTCTTATTTATTATCAAACATCTTGCATGTGAGAGCGCTTGTGTTGGAAGGTTTTTTCCTGTCTGAGTATGTTTGTGTTGACTGCTGTTGAGAGGCTTGCTGTGTAGAGCAGGACTATGCGCTGAATCCATGCCACAGTTATTTCAGCTTTCAGATGGATGGAGGGAGGGAAGGAGAGAGAAGGGAGGGGGGGGGGGGGGGGGGGGGGGGGAGGAGAAACAGATCACAAAGAGAGAGCGAGGGAAGGGAACGGAGAGAGAGCAAGCGAGTAGGAGGCTTTTTTTCCAAATGTCTTTGTAACTGATACCTTTTAAATATACTGAGCAAGCTGGGGGAATTGGCATCTGTAAGAGTGTTTTAATTTGGCCAGTGTACTCTGGAGTGGTCCAGGTTAACACAATAATCAAAGCCAGCTCCAGCGCTTATTTAAAACTATGTGTGAAACATGGTGTGAATGGGATCTTTTAAATGGGTTTAATACAATCACTGTTATTTGAATAAATATCATAACAAGCTATTTTATATGAACTATATAAAATGTCTCTAGTCCGGGGTCATTGGGAAGGAGCGGCTCCTTTATTTTAAAGAACGTTAAAATAAGTCCCAGCAGCCTCAGTGGGCCAGGCGACAGAGGCTGAGCGAGGGCGCCGTTCGTGTCACCGTGTGGAAAGAGAAGTGTCTGGGTTTCACTAGAGGTGCACGACAGCGTGAGATTGGAGGGTTTCTGACCCCCTCAACACGCAGACGGGCGAATCAATGAGCGCTTTGAAAGAATTGTCAGTGATTGACAGCCAAGAGTGTTAAGGAACGTAAAAATAAAGCAAAACAGAACGGCGGTTGCAATCAGGTGAGATGGAAAAAGAGGGAGGAAGGGGGGAGCTGGTTATTTAGCACTTGTGTAGTGGGTAGCTGTAACCTGAGGAGTGACAGCCAGGGGAGAGATCAAAGCCTCCCGGGTGAGAGGGCCGGGGCGAGGCGGGAGGAGACAGACGTATGAGGGAGCAGAGGGTCAGGGGAGCAAAAAAAAGGAAAAAGGCCTGCTTCTCTTCCTGTGCACTACGATTACGCTCTCTGTAGAATGTGTCCCCATACCTCACCCCGGGTTCACTGGGGCCTGCAGGACCAGGCTGGAAACACGAGGGCCCTTTGTCTGCTAACAAAACCCTCCCTCTCTTAAAATGTCACAACACACACGCGTGCCTGGAATGAGGTGAGAGACGAGTTGGTTTACATGTCACATATTACTGTATGAGGAAGTGTGTGAGTGAGTTGTTGATCAACTGACCCTCCAGTGGTATTCAAACTTTTTCAGCGGGGACCCAATTCTTTCCAGCAGAATTTCTGGGGAACCCATTTTTTCCCCAAAAGAAAAACACCACTACACCCCAAATCTAATGTCACAACCTTTAAATCTGTAAATTCCCATCTTTACATCAACAGATAAATGCAATGAATTGAAGGTTTCATCTCATAAAAATGAAAAGAAACTAATAAATACATTTACTCAATAAAATTGTATTTTTCTAATTATCTTTCACAAAAACATTTGTGTATTGATGCCATACAATAATCTGTACTTTTTGGGGGGCAACCCGGCTGCATTTCCCCCATGGCCCACTAGGGGTTGCGACCCCCGACTTTGAATACCACTGTTTTAATCCTTTCCTCATCAACCCCACCACCAGAACCAGGCTCCAGGCCCTGACCTGAGGTCCAGCTGTGTCTCTGTCTCTCTTTCTCCTAGGCCCAGGGTGTAGTCAGACAGATGGTCAGTGAGGCAGGCAGGCTTTCCAGGCAGGCTGTAAGGCAGGCAGTCAGACAGTGAGGCAGACAGGCTGATCCAGGCAGGCTATCCAGGCAGGTTGTGAGGCAGGCAGTCAGACAGTGAGGCAGACAGGCTGATCCAGGCAGGCCCTCCAGGCAGGCTGTGAGGCAGGCAGTCAGACAGTGCTATCAAGGCAGGCTGTGAGGCAGGCAAGCTATCAAGGCAGGCTGTGTGACTCAGAGCTCTGGTGTTTCTCCAGTGTTTCTCTTAGCCTCCTTTAGCCTGCCTCTCAAATCCCCCCTGACAGACGAACGGAGATGAAAAATACATATTTCTGAGGTAGGGGTTGGGAGGGGGCACGGGGAAGAGGGGGTACAGAGTGCGTAACTGATCGCTGGAAGTGATTTGGGCTAAAAACAACACATCATTATAGGCGCTCGCAGGGGCAAAGCAAACAGCTCGCATTTTAATGAGCCAGAGGATGTCGGCCCGGCCAGCCAGCAACTGACTGTGTATAGACCAAGAGAGTAAAGGATGTAGGGTGGCGGGCAAGAGAAGGGGACATGCTGTCGTTTGTCGAGGGGCAGTTTATCCATCACTCTGTATGGTTAACTCACTCACTGTTGACCCGACTGCACAGCTGAACGGTCAGACCAGCTGGTCACAGCAGAGAGACGACCGACCGTGAAATCGTCCAGCCTTTCTTCCTCTGTACCCACATCCCCATGGTAAATGATTTGTATGGTTGTAGCTACAGCCCCTTTATCATCCCCCGGCCGGGGTTGCTGGGCGGGTGGAGGGGTGGAGGGGGGGCATGCAGGTTAGACAGGTCTGGCTGTTGGTCTCTAACGGAGCTGTGTTTTGACATTTAGCTGTTTTATGTCGTTGGCTCACTGGCTGCCTCCACTGTTTACCCCTGCAGCTACAGGTGCCCTGTCACAGAGCTTCATTGTTTCGTCAGAACCCTGTATTAGGGCAGATCAATATTGCATTACGTTTTTAATGAGCTTTTACTTAACGTTCTATTATACTACGACGCCTTTTACCATGTTTTGTTTGTGTCCATGTATGTTTCGCTGTCTCAGAATGCCACCTAGTGGTGGTAATTAGAACCATCTCACATGATGTCGACTCCTGTGGGGCTGACATGGCTGTGTGTGTTTATCCCTACAGTATGAATATCGATACGTTTGGACAGTCGTCGGTGACCCCTGGACAGCGCCCCGCCACGGCGTACGGCTTCCGGCCAGACGAGCAGTTCTTCTGCAGCTACTTTGGTGCGGCCTCCAGATAAACCAGGTCAAATTAGGCTCACTGCACCGCACAGACTGACTACAGCTATCTCCCACGTAGCTCGCTAAGCTATATAGTGGTGAGGGGGTATCAACGCTACTACTGTATGTTTAACAGCTAGTCGCTTCAAGTGCTCTAGTCCAACCTCTAGCAGGGATGCTGTTGCTGTTTTATTGAATGCTAACATTACATCTTAAGCTATCCAAGTGCTTTTCTGGAAAACAATATTTTCCTAGTTGAGGGCAGTCATTAATGTCATAAAAAATGCCAATTTGTTTTGAGCTTTTATTGAAATATATTTGTATATATATATATCAATGTGTTCACTATAGGTATGTACCATAATACAATAACACATACTTAGATGAATTAACTTTAGTCTTAACTTATACAGGATGAATGCTGCTTTGTTTCCATAGGATGTTTTCCACGCATGACATTTTAGAAGGAGAGGTGGTTGGTTGGTATTGCAGAGTGTTAGTCTTATTCTAATAGTCCAGTAGCTGGATGCTGTAACAGTCCTTTTTATAGGTGACCTCAGTCATGAGACTGACATGTTCTCTATCTTTTCTGGCTTTGCCGTTGCATTTTTTCTCTCTCTCTCGCGCGCGCGCTCGCGCTCGCTCTCGCTCTCCACACACACACACACACACACACACACACACACACACAACTGGAAATAACTCCAAAAATATTGTCAGCCTCTTTTACTTTGCCTTTGTACAAACATTCAGTGATTCTGTTTATTTAACTGTTCTTTTTTTTTGTATAAATTAACAATTTGTTGTGTTGTCCTCTTCATTGTGCCTGGTGCTCATTAGAACCATCTTTTTTATTTTTTATTATCTGTGGTGCAATATTTAAAATAAAGTGTTGAAAACTGACCTTGTTTGATGTGACCATTCCTTGTACAGTCCTTGGCACCGTTGATAAAGATTAGCAAAAAAACGATATAAAATAAATAATACAAATACTGAGCGATAATTGTATGCTCAAATTGTTAAGAAAATATATTATTTTATACTTGTACAATTGCTCAGAAATAGATTTTGTTTAACAAATAATAAAAACAATTCTCAAAGATATGTGTCAAAATGAATGGCACCCTTAAAATTGTATATATATTGCGTTTTTATCTCAATATCAAATCATTTCTGGATAACAATTAATTACCTTACTGGGATTGTTTTCAATTACAATAGTCAAGAAGAAACAAAAATAGCTTCTTAGCAAAGGGCTCTCAAACTAGAATT